GTGTGTGTGTGTGTGTGTGTGTGTGTGTTGCCCTCAGCAATGAATACAGGACTCATTAGAATTGCTGTCATGTCGCAGCACTGCCTGCAGCATTTCATCTAAAGCACAGTGGAGCGGCCAGTCAGATTTCAGCATCCAGGAGTACCACTCGAGATTAAAAAGTCAAAAATATCTCGTTCTGTTTCCTGTTCGGCCCGTTGCAATGTTTGAAAATGTTCTTCAGAGGGGAAGAGCAGTGTGGAACCAGATTAAGTTGTCACAACCTCTTTGTAAGTACTGAAGAGGGATCCTTTAAAAAGTAATGCTACCTCTAAGTCAAGGTCTGTTAGTTGGTATACGTTTGTAACTCCAACGTACTTTGATTTATCTTGACAGAAAATATCTGTGGCAAAATAAGTTTGGTTGAATTTTTAGAAAGGGTAGACGGGTCCTTAGATTTACTGGCTGGAGCTTTTATTTCTTCTCTGGCTCTATTTTTTTTTAAACTTTGTTTTATTTATATAAAACCTTTTAGCAGAGAACCATGGTGTTTTCCAGAAAAGAGTAGATAGGACTGTTAAGATATGATTATGAAAGAGAATATGAAAATTACATAAATACAGAAGGATAAGATTAGAAATTACAGAATAAAACAGCAGTAATATAACCCATCCATAATATTAGACTAACAGATAAAAACAGAATTAACGAAGATGCTAAAATATTCAATATTCATTCCTCATTAAGTCTGGAGGAACTCAACTTAAAAAATAAACCATGGCAAGTTTATTTTAAAAAATGGGGAAATTTAAAGCTGCAATGGCTCTTTTGGGGCAGCAGGACACAACATTGACATATTATCACATAATCAAATTGTTTTGGTGAATGTCATAGCAAACAGCTGCTTGTTAGTATTTGCACATTCAGCGGACAGCATTAGTATTCATTTGGAGTCGTGTGTCTTACCAACATTCACGCCTCTTTTATTGTAGCTCTGGTAGCTCTGGTTTGGTCTCCACAACTCCCGAGTGAAATATTTAGCTCTCAAAGGGACAGCTCACCCCCAAATCAAAATACATATTTTCCTTTTACCTGTAGTGCTATTTAGCAATCTAGATTATTTTGGTGTGTATTGCTCAGAGTTGGAGATATCAGCCGTAGTGGTGTCTGCCTTCTCTCAAATATAATGGACCTAGATTTTACTCACAGATCATACATAATGGTCGGCACTGTGGTGCAGTGGTTAGCACTATCGCCTTTACAGCAAGAGGGTTCTGGGTTCGCCGTCTGGTTGGGGCCCTTCTGTGTGGAGTTTGCATGTTCTCCCCGTGTCAGTGTGAGTTTTCTCTGTCTTCCTCCCACAGTCCAAAGACATGCAGGTTAGGTAAATTGACTCTAAGCCCTGTGACAGACTGGCCAGCTGTCCAAGGTGTACCCCACATCTCACAGATTGTTAGCTGGGATAGGCTCCAGCACAACAGCAACCTGCAACAGGATAAGCAGTTATGGACAATGGATGAATAGATTCCACTTGGCTTGTGGTACTCAAGGCGCCAAAAAAACTAAATTTGAAAAGCTCAATAGCAATGTTTCCTTCCAGGAACCATGACTCAGTTGCTCAAGATAGAAGATCCAGATAGATCACTACAGAACTAAATCTGCCAACCATAGCACCAAGCAGAAGGAAGCGTGCATCTACTCATGACAAGTGGCTACTGTTCGTGACAGTGTGAGATGTTATTTTAGCTAGTTAGGTTGAGCTAGCAGAAGCACTGATATAAAATAGACTATAGCACTGCTTCCACCAAACACTTTCGTTATGGTACCTTTGGAACCTAAAGTAACCCTTCAGACATGGTACCTACACCCTAGTGTTTCCACTACAAACAGTATCCTTAAATGTGGGTGGGGTTATTGTCACTCACTGCTCCGTCCAGCACTGACTGTATTTCCTCTTTACCAGTTGCTGCGAGAGGCAGCAAAACATCCTTTCATACTTTCAACTCTCCACGGTATGAACGGAGGTTACATGAGCCTCAAAACCAGCCACGACTCAGCCCTGAGCAGAGTGACCGTGCGCTATTGACCAATCACCGGACTGCAGTGTTCACAGCTTCACCTTTTAGTACCAGATCTGTGTGCTAGGTACCCCAACAGAGGGGGGACCAAAAACGGGGACGGTACGGAACGGTTCCATTGGTACCATCCACAACTGTTCACAGTGGAAACAGAAAAAAAAGCGCACTGTAAGAAGTTCCATAGAGCTGAAGGGTGCTGCAGAGTTGGGTGTTAATTCTGTGATGGATCTCCAATACAAGTGACACCTTTGAACTATACCTAATAATTTGCTCCATTCATTCATTCATTCATTCATTCATTCATCTTCTAACCGTTTCATCCTCTTGAGGGTCGTGGGGGGACTGGAGCCTATCCCAGCTGACATCAGGCAAGAGGCAGGGTACACCCTGGACAGGTCACCAGACTATCGCAGGGCTGACACATAGAGACAGACAACCATTCACGCTCACATTCACACCTACGGACAATTTAGAGTTATCAATTAACCTAGTCCCCAATCTGCATGTCTTTGGACTGTGGGAGTGTCAGGAGAGAACCTATGCTGACAAGGGGAGAACATGCAAACTCCGCACAGAAGGGATCCCACGCCCGGGATCGAACCGGCAACCCTCTTGCTGTGAGGCGAGAGTGCTAACCACCACACCACCGTGCCGCCCTTTGCTCCATTGGTTATGTAAAAATATTGATTAGTGTGGCTTCAAAAACCAGAGCTATGCCAGCACTACATGTTGGAACAGTGCATATTCACATACATACAGTATTATAAACATGAAAAACGAATATATATTCTCTGCAATAGACCATAAGGCTTGTTTCTGGTAAGACCCACTGTGTGTCCCTCTGTTCCAGGAAGTAGAAGGACACACGAGCTGCAGCACAATGATGTTTTTATGTGACAGGTGTTTAATGGACACACAGAACACTCAGAGATACTGTGTGATTTACAGCATCATGTTCGTAGTGGTGATATCATGGTTAAATTTACAGCCTGCCGCGACGTTGACCTTTGTCAGCGAGCGTGTGTGTGCACTCACTTTTGTAACCATGAAAGCAATATGTAAACTAGGCACAGGAGCTACATCAACTTCCTGTGTAAGATGATATGGAGGTTTCATATTTTGGCTGAATGCATAAGAATAAACAGATACTGTATCTTTGAATGAATGTTGTGATACTAAACGGCGTCCCTGTGTGTAATCTGTGGAAAGTGCCCCACTTTCCAGCTCCTCCGACGCTCTATGCCTCAGTGATCATTGGGCTGCTGTTGTGGATTCTCTCAGGGCTGCTGTCATTATTATTCAGGACCCAGGAAATGGTTTTCATAAACTGTCCTGTGACAGCTGAGCCGGGTCTGGGGTTAAACTGGCTACAGACTCACTTGGCACTGCTGCCCCTCTGAAGAATATATCAGAGGCAATATGAGAATCTAGTGGGTCAATGACAGATAAATGAAGTGTCAAAGATAAAGTTCATTTGAGGCTGGATAGAAAATTTCAGTTATCCTGAAAATGTTTCCATGATGTAACAATACCTACTCTAGAAGAAATGCATTCTGTGTGTTCATTTCCTTCAGACCGCTGCATTAAAGGAGGCTGTTCTATAATGTGACGTTACTTTGTGGCTACGGCAGAGCTATATGTGGTGTGCTGTAAACCTCAAGAATAGAGACAAGGTAATTCTACACAGGAGGCTGTTTATTCAGCATAGTCAAAATTTCTACATACCATGTTCTTTTATTATTCAAGGCTCAAGTGTGTGTCTCCGAAACTCACGACGTGTGACAACATGGAGAGATAGCTACACTTACATGTGTTGAGTTGATTGAGCTGAGTGTCTGTGTGCGTATGTGACAATTCAGAGAGTGTGGACAATGTGTGGCCTCTGGTCTTGGCAGGGCAGGATTAGCTCTGTCAGTCTCATGTTGTGAGGCGAAGGGGCAGCGTGACATTTAAATCCGTCCCGTCGAGAAGGACGGTTTTGTGTGCCTCTGTGTATCTTTCTGTGTGTGTGTGTGTGTGTGTGTGTTGGGGGCAGCAGGGGTAAGAGTTTTGGAGGGAGGGTTTGCGAAGAATGTTTGAAATGTCATTGCTCCTTACACTGTTTCACTTTGAAAAGGTGACCGTCTCTCTCTCTTTCCGTCCCCCTCTGTCTGTCTATCTGTCTCTCTGTCTCTCAGATAAGTTGTTTGGAAAGCGGCTGCTGCAGGCTGGGAGACACATCATGTCTCATAAGTCTTGGATGAAAACGGTGCCCACGGAGAACTGTGATGTCCTCATGACATTTGCAGGTCAGGCGCTCACACAAACTGGTGTTTGTATTTCTTTTTTCGTGAGGACCCTTGTTGAACCCTAACCTTAAAGGACTACTTTACTACAAAATGATCTTTTGTATATCAATTACTCACCCTGTGTCACATTAAATCCATGAAAAAAACTTGTTTTTTCGCGCATACCTCCACAGAAAATGAAGAATCCAAAAATGGAGAAAAGCACTGATGAATTGGACTGAATGGGGTCCATGTTTAGCAACAGCAAAACTATGTCAAAACACCTGTTTACAAACTGGCACACAACTTGTGCGATATAATCCAAGTCTCATTTATCCAGTGTTATGCTAATTTCTTCCCAAATACATGCCTTTTCGCTAAAACTTTGCTATTTAAAACACTTCCATATAAATAGTCTCATGCATGGACAAGTAGTACACCTGGACAAAAGGATAGATTGCGTGATGCACAAATGCACATGCTTGTAGAAGTGTTTTAAATAGTAAGGGTTTAGCGAAAATGCATGTCATTAGGAAGCACTGAGCATTCAACTGGATAAATGAGACTTGGATTATACTGCATGACTTGTGTGAGAGTTTGCAATGGATATTTTGTTGTTCTTTTTACTCCAATTATTAAGTTTTCTCCGTTTTTGGATTCTTTGTTCACTGCAGAGGCATGCGAGAAAAAACACATTTTCTTCATATACAATGTAACACGCAGTGAGTAACTGATAAACAGAAAATTATATTGTGGGTGAGGTAATCCTTTAACCTTAACCATCACAACAACATGCCCAAGGTCAACCCTCACCTGAGCCTGTGTGCAACTAACAGATGTTTTGGGTATTTCCCAAAGCCCAAATTAATATACTCAGATTGTTTGTTTTGTCCAGAACCTGAAGGTGGTCAATATACTATCACATAAGACAAAGAAAAGCAGCAAATGTGCATATTTGAGAAGCTGGAACCAACATATGTTTGGTATTTGTGTTTGAAAAGTGACCGAAACAAGCAATAAGAAATGATTGCCAAATAATCTCCCATATAAAACGTAATGCTATGTCTTAACCCTGAAACAGCTCTTTCAATGAGTGGGGACATGCTGTGATGTCCTAACTTTCAAGTACAAGAGCACGCACACAGACACATTTAAATTATGTATTTTAACACAATTTTTGCCATATGAAATGCACTTTTATTTTATTTCAATGCTCCTACCTTCACTGCAGCTTCCCAAAAAGTAAACTGTGGTCTTACTACATACTTTAATTCTGAATTTGTGCTATAAATATAAAGCTGTACATTACCAGTCTTATTGTCCAGGCAAGGAAGAAAACAATACAATTTTATTCCTTTTTCTTCGCTTTTTTTAGATGACTAAAATAAAACACAGAGATCCCAGCCTACTACCAAGCAGCAGGGAGCTAGTATCTGCAACAGGAGGAATCAATACAGCTACATGCTGTTGATAATAAAAATGAGGATCGTGACTGTTACATTGATCATACTACCTCACTTTACTTTCTTAACCATAGTTGTGTCGTGTTATGACCAGCTGAGAAAGCAGAGAAGAAGAGTCATTCTCAAGTGTTTGTTAGTACGACTCTTAACCTCCAGCTGCTGCTCAGGAATAAATAGTACAAGACTGTGGGAGTACTCCCGGCAGCTCCCGTGTATAGTGATGCGTGGGTACGGTTGATAATGTATTTTTATTTTTCATTTCCTGCCACAGACACCACAGATGACCACACGTTGCTATGGCTACTGAACCACATCCGGCTGGGAATCCCAGAGCTCATCATCCAAATACGACATCACAAGCACACAAGAGTCTACGCATTCTTCGTCACCGCTACATATGAAAAGTAAGGGCTCTCTGTAAAGGTTGTCTATTGTTGGTAACAACTTTTTGCGAGGGTGTATTTAGTCATTGATTTTGTATGTGCCTATTATTAACACTATGACTTTAACTGATGATTATTTTCATTTTAATTATTTGTTTTGTTTGTAAAATGTCAGAAAATAGTTTCACAGAACATAACATGACATCTTCATATATCTTGTTTTGTCTGATAAACGGTCCAAAATCCAAAGATAATCTATTTACAGTGACATAAAACCGAGAAAAGAAGCAAATTCTCACACTGTTGGAAGCTCGAACAAATTAGTGTGTGTAAGTTTTACTTGTTAATGACTCAAAACAACACTTAATTAATCATCATCATTAATTGGTTGCCAGTTAATTTTCTGTCGATTGATTAATCCAGTTTCACCTCTACATAACGATAGCTGAAGTGAAAACGCAAACAAGCAGAGCTGGCGTTTGGTTTGTGGGCATGTTGGAGACAGGCTGTTAACTTAGCACCTGCTAATCTGTGCTCACCTTTGTTCTCTGATAACGTACAATCAAGACGTTCAGGAACCTGAATTATAGGTCTCTTCCTCTCCAAAACAAACAGACCGGTGATTTAAACTGATAAAAACATTAAATAAATCAGTTTCACATAAAAAATCTGTGTTTTTCTAATACTGCTAGTCACAGAGGGGCTTGTAACTACAGTGGCTGACGCGGAAACGCAATCAAGCAGAGTCAGTGTTTGGTTTGTCCGTTCTGGGCTACAGTAGCAACATGGCAGACTCTGTAGACTAGAGCCCGCTCCCTATATTGGTATAAATGGCTCATTCTGAAGCAACAAATGCAAACTCCTATACTAAACTCTTATAGTCCGGTGATTATACACCAAAGAAAACATGCTTATTATATTATATTTCATTTCATTTCCAATATATTCTCCAAACTATTACTACTAATTAGGTATGATAGCTTGAGTTCATATAGGATTTAGAGTTTGATGAGAAAATCCACTTTCATGCCTTTATGATAAATATGAAGCTGCAGTCAGTAGATGGTTAGCTTAGCTTAGCATAAAGACTAAAAACAGAGGGAAACAGCTAGCCTGTCTTTGTTTAATGTACATAAACTTCCAATTTAGCTTCTACTTTATTCTTTCCTTTATGCCAAGCTAAGCTAGCTGTCTCCAGGCTGAACCTTCATATTTAGCATATAGATATGAGAGTGGTGCATCAATCCTCTCATCTAACTCTTAGCAAAAAAGTAAATAAATGTATTTCCCAAAATGTTGAATTATTACTTCAAATGGAATATTTCCAGATTTATAACGACACTTTCTATTTTCCAACCTTGCTGAACAACAAATCTGAAAACAAACCCACTGTGTGATTTCATCCATGCTGTCATGACCTGTTACAGGTAGAGTAGTGCTGTTACTGCTGTTTTGTAGTTCTGTAGTTGTGTAAATTAGTCACCCTGGAAAGAGTAAAGACAAGAGGCTATAGCAGATAGAGATAGAGAAACTGCAGAATGAATATATCACTGCTTCCTCTGGTAGTTTGAAGTTTAGATATTTTCAAATGCCACTGGAGTTTGGATGTTAAAGACAAAAATATACCTGCTGTTCTGTGCTGGTGTAAAATTGTACCTTCATTTGTTGTGGTATTATATTTAGCTGCAGCTATAGTAGGCACAGCAGTTTAGCTCATACACAGCGAATCATTAGTGAGGCTGCGGTGATGCCTGGTTTACTGTATCAGCACTTCTGCTCTGCCTCTGGCTGCAGGTTATTTAAAGTTTTGCAGAAGGTTATAGTCAGGCTAAACAGTATAGATTTTATTACTCTGATTACACTGCACGGACACAGTCTCTTGTTGTGAAAACATCTCCAGGGCAGTCGGGGATAAACCCAGGGTCATTTTAATCTCCGCATTGACTTTGGTGTATAAATACTGAGAAATACAATCCAGGGGATCAGGGTGGCACTCGCTGTTCCATACTGCATTTCACCTCTTGACAAATGTAGAGTCCCGTCTGCTGACTGTGCATTTAACAACGAGCCTCTCGAAAAGAAAAGAAAAAAAAAAACCCTTAGAGTCTCAACCAAACCTTTTACTAGTGAATGGAATAGGAATAGACAGATGGCTGTAACGAAGGAAGACAGAGAGCTTTATAGAGACAGATGCAAAGAGAGAACAAGAGAGAAAGGGAGAAGAGAGTGAAGCAGAAAGACAAAGAAGAAACAACAGGGAGGTTAATGTGGTAGGAGGATGGAGAGAGCGCTCTCTGAAAGTGTGCCAGTGGGCTTTAGATGAAATGCTGAAGTAAAATGATTGCTGTGTGACATGAAGCGCACTTTCCTCTCTGTCTCTCTCTGTCTCTCTCTCTCTCTCTCTCTCTCTCACTACACACACACACACACACACACACACACACACACACACACACACCTGCTGTTGACCTACATTTTACATGATAGAAGAAATAACCCAGAAAGTATTCCATCCTCTCAAACTCACCTTGGATAGTCATTCCCTTTACATACTAAAGTGGAGAGAATTTTCATTTTAACCTCTCCTGTGTGAGAATACTGACTGAGTGCTTTAGGTGTGTTTCCTGTCAACTGTAGGCTTGCTTTATATTACCCTATCAACTTACAGTAAATGGCATTGCTCTTCCTGCTATGTGTTTGAGTTGGAAGAGAGGAGTTACCAGTGTATAAAATCTGGTTATATGAGATCAGTCTACACAGCATTCAGTGCTGTTATGTGTTTTATTATTAGTAAGTCTATTTATTGCTTTGTAAATATCTATAGCAGAGAGTAAGGGTGTAAGAAAATATATATATAAAATACTGTATTGATTCTCAAGGACCTTGTTATCGATTTTTGATTGTTTACAGTTCATTTTCATTTATTTACCTAAAGCAGGGATACTAAACTTGCTTTGCCACAGGGCCACTTTTGCAAAATAACAGGGGGCCGGGGGGCCAGTCGCAGCAAACAGCTCTATTTAGATGCTTTTTTATGCACTCTGGCACCTTATTTACATTAAAAATACAACAAAAAATCCCAGTGTGAATCTATTTATTTTCATAGTGAATTCCAAAATGGACGGGGGGGGCCATCTGGCACTCTGTCATGGGCCAGATTTGGCCCAGTGGCCATTTTATTTTGTTTTGTTTTGTTTTATTTTGTTTTGTTTTGTTTTATTGATTTTTATTTTTACTTTATTTTATTTTTTATTTTTTATTATATTTTTATTTTTGTTTTATTTTATCTCATTTTATTTTATTTTATTCCTATTGATTCCTTAATGCTAATTCCTTACATGGCGTGCGATAAATACAAATACAGATCCCACTGTTGTGTCTGGTGTGTTCTTTATATACAGTATAACAGTTTTTCTGAAATATAGATTTAAAAAGTCACCTTGCTTGTATCACTTTAAATTAAATCATAACCCCTGAATTCTAATATGTATCGTATCGCCAGATTCCTGCTAACACATAGCCCTAACAGAAAGTAAGTGTAGCAATGAACACACTCAGTGAGACGTACAGTAAATGTCCTCCTCCTCCTCCTCCTCCTCCTCCTCTTTTCATAGCTGACATACCATCCATTACTCATTTCTCAGCTCTGACTGGGCAGTTTAAAGCATGCCGTCCTGTTCTGCTGAGCCTCTACATTACGTCTGATAAATATTTGCTATATTAGCATAAACCATACGTGCAGTGCTCTCCCTCAGCAGTATTCTGTTCTTTTACAAGGTTAGCTTTGCCCATGCATTCCCTTTGACTGTGTCTCCAAATTAAGGCTCCTTGTATTTGGGGAGAGAGTGTAAAAGGTGATAATGTTTTTGATTAATTAAGAAAAGGGGCTTCTCATCAAGATTCCTGGCAACAGCAGGAGCTGTGCACGTCTGAAAGGCCTTGCAGTTATTGGCTTAGATTACTAAACAGTTGGTTTAAACAGATACAGCCTGTTTTTTTTTCTCAGACAAGCACCTTTACTGTGATGCTGCTGCACACTAAGCAGTATTCAGTGGTGATACAGAAGCTCACATCTCACACTGTAATCCATCATGGTGCTCAACGTACTTCACTGTACTGCTCGTCCAAATGCCCGGAGCTGCATGATGGATGGATGATACAGGCCCACCTAGGCATTGCTCATGTCCATGTGTGTGTGTGTGTGTGTGTGTATACTATATATACATGTACATGTGAGAGAGGGAGGTGAGCTGTCTGCCTCTGGGGAACAGAGGGTGTGGTGCTGCATTATTACTGCCATTTCAGCACAAAGCCGCCGGGAAGGACAGAAGAAAGAGGAGAAGGGGATGATGGGATAAAGGAGGAGGAGGGGGAGACAAAGGAGAGGACTCTGGGATAAAAGGATAAAGAGAGTAAGGTGGCTGGAAAGAGGAGGGGAGTGTAGACAGAGTGGCTGGAGAATGGAGGAGGAGGGAGGAAGAGAGGAGATGTGGAGGAAGGGCTGATGGGAAATGAGATGATGAGAGAGAGTGATGAGGTTAAAGCATTAGAGGGCAGTTGAGATGACTTTAACACTATGAAGGACAATCCATCTCCGCTAATATTATTGTTTGCAGTTGGTTTTGTAATCCCATTAAAAAACTGGCCAAATGCACTGGTCATTTCCAGTCAAATGTTTTTTATACAGCTAAAATGGAGTTATACAGAAATTTGTTCAGCTATCCACAACAGGACTGTAACTGTTTTCATCACTGTTTAATCTGTTGGTAATTTTTCTTTTAATGCCCCAGGTTGTCCATCTGTCCAACCATCCCTCCGTGCCATTTTTGTGAACATGATATCTCAAGAAAGCCTTGGGGGATTTTTTTTTCTTTATTTCAAATTTAGCACAAATGTCCATTTAAGCTCAACAATGAAGTGATTGTAGGTCAAAGGTCAAGGTCACTGTCACCTCGTCTGTCTCATTCTTGTGAACCCAATATCTCAAATACACCTAGAGGGAATTTTTTCAAATATGGCACAAATGTTTACTTGAAGTCAACAATCAACTGATTAGACTTTGATGGTTGAAAGTCAAAGGTCAAGGTCACTGTGACCTCACAAAATATGATTTTGGCCATATAAAATTTCAGTCAGACATAATGGGAAAATAAATAAATAAAAATGTTAAAGATATAAACAACCAATACATTCACAGTATAATAACACTAGAGAAAAGGGAAAGAAATTGATAGCTAAAAAGTTAAAGTGATGTGGGCTAACTAATAGTAGAAGATAATAACTAATAAGTTGTAATGTCTCATATACTGTACACATTTTGCAAAACAGTGACAGTATAGTTACAGTCTCCGATATTCTACAAACCACCTTTTCTCAAACACATCTTCCCTTGCCTTGTTTTGTGAGTTACTTTCTCTATGAAACACAACAAAAACACTTTTCTTGCTATTATTCAATGTCATAAATCAGGAACAGAAGGGGAGACATTTGGTCAGATACTGAATTGGTGATACTAATCTTGGGTGTCCACCTTGAAGCTGTGCTGATTGTATTGATCTTCTGTGCTGCCCGGGGGGAAACATGTCTGAAGCATCCATGTTTTCACAGACATGGATGTGAACTTTAAGTGTAACTTGACTGGTTGGCAGAGGCATACAACCACGAAGCGTGAATTTTAGTTAATTCATTAATAGAAAGATGCCCATCACAAAAGTGAAATCTCTACATTACTTATATATTGTCTAACCAACAGTCAAAAGACCAAAGATAAAAAATTAGAATGATAAAAAAACAGAGAAATATTTACATTTTTGCTTAATAAAGTACTTAATTGATTATTAAAATTGTTGTTGATGAATTAAACGTTAAACAGGAAATGCCAGGTTTTAGGTACACATCCCTCAGAGTCAAAGAACAGGTTATTAAGAATTAAACATTTTGCATCAACGTTCATCAGTCATACTGGCAGAAGACATATAATACTCTGTAACTCTATCAGTGTCTCTTTGTTGTCCTGCAGTTTGTTGCGAGGTGCTGAGGAGATGGGACTGAGGAAAGCAGTGAAGCCTGAGTTTGGCGGAGGAACACGAAACTTCTCCTGTGAAGAGGATTACATCTACGAGAACATCGAGAGCGAACTGTGTTTTTTTACTTCACAGGTCAGTGTCACACACACACACACACACACACACACACACAACCATATGCATGTAAATTTGCTGTCATGGCATCACTGGAATTCACTCTCCTCCTCTTGTGCGCTGCAGGAGAGGCAGAGCATCATCAAATACTGGCTGGACAATCTACGTGCCAAACATGGGGAGGTGCTTCATAATATCAACTTCCTGGAGGGCCAGCCAATCAGTAAGCTGCATCCTTGATCAGCACAGTGTTGCTAGATGCTATGTGATATTTGTCTTCATTAAACAGGAGGCAGTTATTTGGCAGGCTTTGGAAATAATCCCTCAATTGGTTTGGGTTTGAAATTATTAGCAGCCTAGATGTGATGGATTTCATTGTGTACTGTAGCTGATAGTTTTATCTTTATACTGCTACTCTTCTTCTGTTGATGTTTCTCTCTCTTGCAAATTAAATGTAGAGTAATTTTAACGTACTTAATGCTTTGCTTTATTGTTCTCTGTAGTCCCAGAGCTGAGTGCGCGAGGTGTTATCCAGCAAGTATTTCCTCTACACGAACAGAGGATCCTCAGCCAGCTGATGAAGTCTTGGGTCCAGGCTGTTTGTGAGAAACAGCCTTTAGGTCTGTAGAACAAGATACTTACTAACATATACATAACACAGGAGGACAACCACAAGATAGCAAGGTATTTATAGTTAACGAAAAGTAAAACTAGGTAATAAAATACATTTTACTTAACTAAAATGAAAATAAAAACTAGACATTACTGGAAAAAATATTGTTCTTACAATACAGAAATTAAATAAACTTCAACTTGAAATGTCTTTAGTTCAGTCTTGTCAGTTTGGTCAAATTTATCAATACAAGAAACATAAGGAGGCTTTGGTGCATAGTTTTATTGTGAATGTGATGTCTACAGTCAGTTGCCTTCACAAAGTGCTGTGTTTGTATTTTAATACCTATTCTGAACCTCTTAAATATTGCCCTTGACCGCCCATATAATAATAATGATTTTAAAAAACTAATGAACTAAAACAAAACATTTTTAAACAATAAAAACTAGACTGAAATGAGCAAACTCATCCTGGAAACGAACTGAAACTAAACTGAATTGAAAACAAAGATTAAAAACTACAGAAAAATAAAAACTAATGAAAAAAACAAAACTATAATAACTGCAAGACATAAGATCGTACTTTGGGTGCAGTGTGAATTACTTTGCTCATACCTCGTTGCTCTGTTCTTTAGTAGTCATAATATGTGTGATATTATCCGTCTAATTTGCTATCTTTCACCCTTTTTTTCACAGATGATATCTGTGACTACTTTGGGGTGAAGATTGCCATGTATTTTGCCTGGCTGGGATTTTACACCACTTCTATGTTATATCCTGCTGTGATCGGCTTCGTGCTGTGGATGCTCACTGAGTCAGATCAGGTGAGGAGAGAAGCTGTCGTGGCCTTAAATGACTTCAATCACAGACCAAACAAAAAGGTTGTCATAGTAAGTCTGCGCATTTGTGTTGTTTCAGACGAGCCGTGACATCTGCTGTGTGGTGTTTGCACTGTTCAACGTGGTGTGGGCCACTCTGTTTCTGGAGCGGTGGAAGAGGAGGGGGGCTGAGCTGGCATTCAAGTGGGGAACACTGGATACGCCGTCCGAATCCCTGGAGGAACCACGGCCTCAGTTCCGGGTGAGAGAAACAAAAACTCTGGCTCCTTCAATCTTTTCTCCTCTCTTCTCCTCTTTCAAGCTGTTTCATGCTTTCTCTCTCTGCAGGGAGTCAAGCGCTGCAGTCCCATAACAGGATGTGAGGAGTTCTATTATCCTCCTTGGCGGAGGCGTGTATTCAGATGGCTGGTCAGCCTGCCCATCTGTATCCTCTGTCTCTGCTTTGTCTTCCTGGTTATGCTCATCTGCTTTGAGCTGCAGGTCAGCAATGATGATTTCTGTGGTAGTAAAAATCTCTTCACTCCCTCCTCTGCCCTTGTTTATTCTTTTAAAACTTTTTTATGGGGTGGATGCAATGATGCAGCAAGCCTGTTAAAGTTATTTGAAGGCTGTGACAAGTTAAAAAGCTGTGATTATGTCTTTCCAGGAGTTTGTGATGGGGATCAAGGAAATGCCTCGGCTAGCTCGCTTCATCCCCAAAATCATGCTAGCTATCACTGTGACCGCATGTGACGAGGTGTACAGGAAAATCGCCTGCTGGCTCAATGACATGGGTGAGTCGAGCTTCCAGATTTATCCAGATCTACATTCACGTTATAAGCACAGCACCTTTTATAGAACAGTGGTTCTCAAACTTTTTAAACCACCATTATGACCAATGTTAAAACACAGTAGCACAGGCCAACCCTATTCAGCTGCGGACAGTTCACGCCAGAGGCAGGTTTATTCAGTTTCAACAGAGCTGCTCAAAATATTCTCCACACTCATCTTCCTAATTGACCTTTTGCTAAGCCCCACCCCTTTGTGATGGTCCGACAAGCTGTTGGAGTAAGCATGGAGTCCACACTGTAACTAACTGCACTCCCTGAAGAAATATTATCATATTTTTGGAACAATAAAACAGTGATTCCAGAGAGAAGCAGACAGAGGGGTCTACAGTCTGTGTTTGAAGGATATATCCAGGATGTCAAAGTGACTCAGCAGCAACAACAGGTTAAAAAGACAAAGATAGTTAGAAGCTAAGGCTGAACTATAGGCTACAGATTACAGTGTAAAAGTGAACCACCACATCACTGCTGATCGCCACACAAGACAATGAATATAAAGGGAGACTTTGCTGATATTGAACCAGCTGTGTAGCATCGCAGTGTGTGCAGATGAACAGTGTTTGGCTTCACCCCCATGCCGCTGCCAGCACCTGGACCTCCACTGCTGGACAGGGACAGGGATCTCTGGAAGAAGTCAAACAACGTTCATCTGCGCACACTGCAATGACACACAGCTGGTTGAATATCAGCAAAGTTTCCCTGCTTCCCTTCACTGGTTCCTGTACAGCAGAGTTGGTCTTTTTTTCGCTGTTATAATCATTAAAAAGCAAAAGCAGCATGTGTATACATTCAGTAGGCTATATCTTGAGTAGCTAGCTAGCTAACCCTACACTTTCCAGGGTCTGATTTTGGTTTTGGAACAGGGAAGAAACGTGTATCTTTTTCCAACCTCTCCAGGTAACGAGCATCATTAATACACGACGTGCCCCAGGCACAACATTTAGCTCCAAATCCACAAAACCAGCCTGAAAATGAAGGAAATCTGAAACAATTGCATTAGAATCAATGGAGCACAGCTGTGTTGTTGTCGGACCCTGGTCTGAGCCGGCCCAATGCTATGCCATGATTGGCCAGTCTGTGTCCGGGGGCGGGACTTAGCGAAGGGTCAGTTGTTCCTGTTAGGAGACATGATTGCAAACCTTTCAGTTTACCTCGGCTTACTATCTTGCTATCACAGTTTAGCTTGTACCTAATCATTGATCTATGAATGTGCTACGTTCTGGACCACCAGTGGCACACATACCACGGATTGAGAACCAGTATTATAGAAGATAATCTGAATAAAATTGCTTTCATCTGACATTCCTTAATACTCCTTGTGGATCTTAAGTAATCCCTTATAAACTCAAATGACTCTCAGTTTTACAGTATATGACATTGTTTATGAGTTGTGCGGCATGAGTTACGTTTTTTCTCTACAGAAAACTATAGACTCCAGAGTGCCTATGAGAAAAATCTCATCATCAAAATGGTTCTTGTGAGTGGCTTTTCATTACATAATATCTGAACCGCCTGTGTCATTTATAAACTTGTTTATTAAATCATTCCTTTTTACACAGCTTTCCTCCTAATGATGCCTGGCATTTCTTTCTCTCGCAGTTTCAGTTTGTAAATTCTTATCTCAGCCTTTTTTACATTGGATTCTACCTCAAAGACATGGAGCGCCTGAAAGAGGTAAGAAACATCCCCAGCTCTAATGTTCCTCTGTCACCGATTAGCTCCAGTAATTCATTTGGCCTCCAACATCTGTCGTTCTCCCATCCTTAAATGCTTTGCCCTCTCTCTGCTTACATGCATTGATTTCCATAACCATCCATCCACACATCTCATCCACTTGTCCATCTGTGGAAGATGCTGCTGGTGTTGTCTCTGTTAAGGAGTCTGCAGCGGCAGGTCCGGGTCAATCTGCTGCCTTCCCTCTTCTTCAAGATCCAGATGCTTGTGGTCTCTGTTCCCTGGTTCTTCAGGGCTTTACTCAGGTCCAAAGTATGCTCCCTGTACATCCACTGTTTGGGCGAGAGGGCAAAGGTCCATTTCTGACCACCTGTGTGTTTGTGTTGATTATATGTGTCTGGTGAAAACTTGTGTTTTTTAAATGTCATGTCAAATATAATCCTGTTTTTCTAGCTTCTTAAAAACTCCATATTTTGGAGACACATAGCTTTCACCAGACAGAAAAGATAGATGAGCGGTTTAATGTGGTAGAGAATTTAAAATGTAGCTGTCAGAAGAAGATGTTTAAATGATTGGTGTTTTCATTTCTGGCTGTCAGAAATAGTGCCTCGTCTCCTGCATATATGAGCATCATTCCTAGTTACAATAGTTGTGTGTTTTTGCCATTTTCTTTCTTCAACATGGGGATGTGGAGTCAATGTGGATTTCTTTATTGGCCATTTCCTCCCGTGCAGTTTGTGTGAATTGTTTTTCCAATACAACTCTCACCACTCGTACCTCAATTTCTCACTCTGTCTGTCAGTTTCTGTTACACTCTCAGCCAGAGTGCCACCTCATTGAGTTTGTCATATTCTGTTAACGTCACCTGACTTCATTGTTTTTTCATGTCTGATTACCAGCCAGCACAGCCCAGCTACTGCAGTTATTTTTCATAGTGTATTTACTCTATTGTCAAGACAATCAGTGCACACACAGCTGCATTACAACACAAGTAAAATAACATTAAAACACACAAGCAGGAATGATTTATCTGACTCAATTTTCATACTGTTAGGAAATGAATAGAAAGGTAAGAAAAACCTGGCTGAAACATGCAAAAAACCACTGGTGTAGACCTTTAAGTGTCTGAAATGAAAACCATCTGGTGTTGTCAGCTTGATTCTGCCAGTGTCTGACTCTGACGTATCTGTGCCGACTGTTCCAGTAGGTAGCAGTGGGAGAACAGTATCTCCTTTTCTGGACTTCCAAGGTCCTCCATTATTGACTGAAAGTAACATTCTGTCCATGTTCTTGTCAGGAAGTGGCTGTGGTTTTGTTTTTGCATTCCCCGTGCTGTAGCTTGCAGCAATAGGATATTGTGCATCAGCATTATTTGACTTGGAAACAATCGCTTTTAGATTAAAGCCAATAACAGATAGTAAGCTTTGTGATGTTGCAATTCTTAGTAAGTGTCTCCTCTGGGTGTATAATATTAAAGGGCTGAAGATGTGCTCACTGCTCAGTTTTGAGTGTTTTAAAGGTCCAGTGTGTAGGATTTAGGTGGATATATGGTCAGGAATGGAATATCAGATAATAAGCTTGTTTTCTTTGATGTATTATCACATGAAAATAAGAATAGTTGATACGTTATATTGTGTCCTAACTAAATGCGACACCATGCAATCAGTTTGATTGCATTGTTTTCTATTTGACTCTCTTAACTGCCTGCGAGCGATGTGGTGTGGCGCTTTGAGCAAAATTTTTGTTGGACACTCCGTTTCTATTTTATTCCTGTCACTTACATTGAAAGTGCAACAGTAGACGAGGAATGGTTGATTCACGAGGTTGAAATAAAGGTTATCTATATTAGTGGTTCCCAACTGGTGGGTCGCAGGTCCATTCTTAATGTCAAGTTTGTAATAAACACATTTTATTTTAAAGTATATTGAATTTTAAACACAGGGCTTTTATTTTGAAGTGCAGTTTCCCACTGTAGAGTGAGTGACTAATGGAAAGCTACTTGACAGAGACAGTAAATTATGTATGAGCGACTATGATGCTGAAAGTATTAAACTGTGTGGACCTTGAACTAATGACCAAGGAGAAATCTGGACCTTGTGGCTGGACCAGTTGGGAATCGCTGATCTATATGATGCCTCCTCATTTCCATACAGTAACCTAAATATTTTGCCATCTGGCTGGAGGGAGATCACCAAGGAGCTGAACGCTTCTGGTAAGTCTTGTGTAGGATGCTCAGCAGAGCTTGCTTGTTGTACAAAGAAGAGATGGTGGAATGCTATAGTATGGCAGCAACAACAATGATATGTAAAAGTTACCAGCAATGGTATTGTTGTTAATATAGATAATAAGGAAGTACGTACTCACTCATCAGTGGTTACTCTGAGACCACAATTGCTAGGTAAGTTTTTTACATGATGTGACGGAGTTCTATATTTTACAAATCCAATGTGGACAGAGAGTCTCCTATGTAACACTCTGCAGTGCGATAGTTAGATGCTTGCGTCCAGTTAGGACAGGGAGTCAGAATGAGCCATTTATATCTACACAGGGAGCAGGTCCTTCCCCACGGAAAATGCCATGTTGCACCACCATGTTTCTACAGAAGCTCAAAGCAGACAAACCAAACGTCGGCTTTAGATGAGGCCTTACGTGTTTTCTTGTTGGCCACCTTAGTTAGCAGCCCGATGTCTATAGTTAGCGGATTTTTTTAATGTGAAATTGCTTAATCCAGCATTATTACCCATTGAAATCACTGGATCCGTTTGTTTTGGAGAATGTGAATAATCCGGCTCCCTCTGAAAAACCTCCTGATCAATGAACACTGTAGAAAATCTACCGGGAGAAGATTCAGCTGGTTGCAATCTGCATTTCTCACCACTGGGTGCCACTAAATTACCTAAATCTTACACACTGTTTCTTTAAAGCATAATTCTGGTTTATTACAACTTGGGGTTAATTTCATAGTATTGGCTAGTATTTCTAGGAGTTTTGACAATATCTTACTTGCTGAGATCTGGAAGCAAAGTAACATTACGACAGTTAAGCTTGATGCGTCAAGAAACATGAGCAGTCAACTTTATTTGAAGGGAAAACTGAAATCACTCCACTCATAAAGGTGAGAATAATCATTCATTGCACAGGAAAAACTAACTAGTTTGGGTTTTAGTAATTTCACCCTCTTTTTTTTTCCAAATAAAGTAAGTTTCGCCACCCTGAGGGGTCTGCTTAAAATCTGAGTGAAGACATTACTTGTTGTGTCAGACCTCTCTTTTGTGATGACGCTGTGATCTCATATTTCTGTAATTAACTTGTTGAGTACATAGTTATTACAAATAGTAAGAAAGCCCCAAAAAAGTTGTAACAAACCTGAATTATCCTTCAAGTAAGGGTTATTTGTACTTCCTGCTGCGTGTGATTTGGATTTGTTTGGCAAGGTATGAGTATTATTGAAAGGCCTCAAGTGTCTGTGTCCATCATCCACTAACCTATGTCATTGAAATATGTCAGTGGTCTGAAAGTGCACATCCAGAGTGGATCACATGGTTCAGAAAACTGCGGCTACACTGCTCCCTGATGGTTCTTTCAAACACTTGAATAATCATTGACAAATGCAGTTCAGCAACAGTTTTCTGCCTTGTTTGATTTGCGTGTTGATAAAGGCTGCATACAGTGTTTTGGTTGATCTGTTGCATTGGTTCCGTGAGGGTGTACCTTATGTCTTTCTCAGCCTGTTCTCATTCCTCTTCTCTGTCCTGCTAGTCCTCTTTTCTCTGTCCAGCCAATTCCAACCCCCTGCATCTCTTCTTTTAAATGCTCTGATAAGTTAGAAAGTATATTCAATCAGCTTGGCAGCTACATTTTTTCCAAATGTTTCTCTCTGTCCTTGTCAGATGCTGGCCACTCTGCTCATCATACGCCAGTTCCTTCAAAATGTGAAGGAGGTTCTTCAGCCTTACCTGTATGAGCGCCACAAGCTGGGCGAGCTCACACTGCGAGCTGTGTGGGATCTGCTGCTGTCAGTGCTGCTGAAATACGCCCGGCTGGCGGCTGGAAAAGCTCAGGCGTCTCCCACCGACCAGGCCATGCCAGGACCTGGACTGAGGGGCACCAGGCCTGGGCTGGGGCAGCCAGAGAGAAGGTCAAACTCATTATTTAAACTCTCAAACAATTAATAAATGCGAGCCTGCACGTGCAAATATTAACACTGGGATGTCTAAACAGGTGAAATCAATTCTTCGATAATGCAATTTGAAACATGCAATAAGAGAAACTGACACTTTCTCATAATATCAGTGTGATGACGAGTGACATTTAAGTGTTTGTAGCTGTCATTCAAACCAACACTCAAAGCATTAGTCACAACAAACAGACGCGCTTGGGTTCAAATTAAAAGCCACTTTATCTGCACTTGACACTGTCTGCACGCTGCGTGTGGTTGTGATTCATGCCAGTCGGACATTAAGGAAATAGACAGAACACCACTGTGAGATGTGAACACACACTCACAGAGAGGCACATTTTGTCTGATGTCTATCTGTCCCTTCAACTTCTCTCAGGGAAAAGAAATGTTTGAACGGAGGATGCGGGGTGCCTGATGAGGAGGAGGGAGGTGAGAGAGACGAGGCTGACAGCGGGAGGTTCAGTGAAGGAGAGACGGAGGAGGAGAGTCTGATCGACTGCGGTTTGAAGCTGAGAAAAGTCAGCTTTATAGAGAAGGTATGAGCTGTGCTAGAACATGCATTTATGATGTATTCAATGAAGACATCACCCACAAAATGATCATTTGTATAACAGTAACTCACCTGGAGGCCTGATGAATTGGAAAGAAAACTTAATTTTTTTCGCATGCTTCCACGGTGAACAAAGAATCCAAAAACCTAGAAAATTCTTGATGAATTGGATAAAATGGGGACTGCAGTTAACAACGGCAAAACTATATCAAAACATCTGTTCTTCGTTCCCCGTGGAGGCATCCCTCAAAAATGGATGTAACTCCACATGACTAATTGATTTACAAATACAGATTTTGCGGGTGAAGTATTTCTTTAATATGTTTATGCTGTAGCACTCATCTGTATTGGTGTTGTTTAGGTGGACAGAAGGCCAGTCTGCAGTGGGCCCCCCATGGACAACAGTTTCCTGGAGGAGGGGAGCCCCACTATGGTTGAAAAAGGAATGGACCCTGCCTCTGTGTTTGAGATGTGTGATGACGACGACGATAATGGCATTCATGATGTGAAGGAGTCAGGAGGGGGCGCGACAGGTGCAGCTGAGGGAATTATTGCTGCGGCTGGTGCCGCTGCTAGCGCTGCCCCGCTGCCTTCTGGGGCTGAGAGCAGCACATCAGTGCGACACAGAAGAAGAGGCAGGAGCACAGAGAGACCTGAGCCGAGGACAAAAAGAGAATCATGGATTGACCCCCCTGAGGAGAAGGAGAGCACCACGCTCACTCAGGCTGAGATGGAGAGCTGCATGCAGACTTACGCTGTAAGAAAGACTGCATACTGAACTTATTCTCTAACCCGTACACAGGGTTTTAAAGGATGGCAAGTTTCATCCTTTAAAACATTTAAGGCACATTTAGAATTTGTCACTCTTGGTGTTTTAATTCTCATATTATGACTAATGGTTATCATGACCCTTAATTTACCCATCAAGTCTGTTGTAGAGATTAGGGATGCATGAACTCAGCAAGAATGGCGTTGTCCTACAGCTTTCCAAAAACTTAAATTTAACCAAAACATGAAGCAGTTAGCCAACTGGAGCATCTCTTTGTTGTATAGAGGCAGGAAAATTAAACTGCATGATGTGTATTATGTCATTATCAGCCACAACTTTGCACTGCTGTAAGGAAAAACTGGCATATGTGCATAAATATATCAGCTGACAAGTTGACCAGGAAGTAAAACCGCTCTTCTGTGAAGCTCACAGCAACAGCTAAAGGGATTTCCAGGCAGCTACTTTCTGTGTTTGATTATGATCAGATTCAAAAACGTATCTGGGATACATTTCTGTCATTTGGAAAGCTGTATGTGATTTTTTGCAGGAATCCTGGTCTCCCAAATCTCTACAATGGATGAGTGGAATTTTATCATTCCCAAATAACAGACAAAAACATGAGGATAAGACCCAGGGTCCCAGAATTCTCTTAAAGGTCTAGTGTGCAGGATTTAGTCGGATCTAGCGGTGAGGTTGCAGAACTGAAACTTCTCCTTTGTGCCAAGTGTGTAGGAGAACTACAATGCAGACACAAAAAACCGAAAACATGAAAATGCAAATGGCTCTATCTCGAGCCATTGCCAGTGGTTTGTCAGCTCAGGCAGACTCTGTGGAAGAGGACTGTCTTCCTACATAGATAAAAACTGCTTATTCTAAGGTAACGAAAACACAGTTCTTATTTTAGGTGATAATAAACTGTTAAGAACATGGTAATGATTATTATATACCATTTCTGCTAATAGATGCCCCTAAATCCTACACACTGGACCTTTAAGGTTTTCCATGAAAGTTCTTCCACAGAATAGTGAGATAGAAAATAACAGTAAAATGTTGTATAATAGTAGGTAACCAATTTAGCCATACAGCATACAGTATGTTCCCAACTGTCATTCTCCTCATACTTAGCTCAGGTTTCATACATGTTATAAACAAGAACTGTAACATGAATCCAACAGGATCCCTCTCAGCCATCATGTAACACTACACCCAAAACATGTCCTGAGAGTGATGTGAATAGCACTGGGTTATGTTTCAAAAGGTCGTGACTATCTATCTATAAGCATAGCTTAACCAAGCTTTTTTTTTCTTTTTTGTGAAGCGACACGTGACAGATGAAACTAGACAAGACAGAACTTAGTACATTGGGTGACATCACAGGATTGCAAACAACCAAGCAAACCAAACTAAATAAAGCAAATGTTAGATCTCTAGGGGCAAGGGCAGAGACCATGGGTCTCATAAGCACAGATAAGCAAAGGCCCCATTGCCTCTCCTTCACATAGGAGCAAGACACACTGAGTTTGTGGTGGTTTTGCCTTTTTTTTTTTTTGTTGCTTTGCATGTCTATGGAGTTGTTTTGTGTCTTTGTTGGCTCATTTTTTGTCTCTTTGCTGTTCCTTTGCATATCTTTGTGGTCATTTTGAGTCTCTTCCTCATTAGTCTGTGTTAATTTGACTGACACCTTGCAGGTAAAGGCCAGGAGTATCCCCTGACACATTGGCCTGCACTTGGTAGGCTTGTTCAGTAATTCACCCATGTGCAAGGGGTGTGTGCATTAGTGAAGGAGCAGAGCAGACTGTTGTGTAAAGGAGCCAACAAAAAATCATTTTTTTATGGCAGGGGTGGCTAATGATATCTCATCATACATCCATTTTATGGTATTTTGTTTTCTCTTTATCTGCATTTTTTCATTTTTCCCATTTTACTAGTATTTTTGTTTATGCTACATGAGGCAGTGGTTACCCTCCTTTAGCCGCCACCAGGCCCAGGGAAGGAAGCTGGCTGTTGGGGGTCATATTTTGCCGCCCCTTCCCACATCCTTAACATGTGAAGAAATAACCTTTTTATTGCTTCATTTTTTTTACTTACGTATTTATTTTTCTAAGGACATAAGGCAACTCCAGCCAGAGAACAGGAAAAAAGAATCTTTAGTATTATTTCGTACCATCGAGGATCGATTTGTTCCACAGAAATGCAGACTTGCTTCCTAGCTGCCAAATAGTAACACTTAGGCTGCACTTACCTGATAGAACTGTGGTTTAATGCTCCACTCTGCCTCTTTCAGGACACCTTCCAGGACTACCAAGAGATGTTTGTCCAGTTTGGCTACGTGGTGCTCTTTTCCTCAGCCTTCCCTCTGGCTGCCATGTGCGCTCTCATCAACAACATCATTGAGATCCGCAGTGATGCCTTTAAGCTCTGCACCGGTCTGCAGAGGCCCTTTGGAATCCGAGTGGAGAGCATCGGCCAGTGGCAGGTCAGAAATATAACCTGTGAGAGTTGACACGGGCTTGTGAGGTTTCTCTGTCGTGGTTGTTAATTGAATTCATTGTCATCCAAAGACAGGGACAATTAAAAGACTTAGACATAGAAATGCTGTCACATGTAACAAACACTCCATTTAGAAGTTGAATGATCATGCAATTATAACTGTGTAACAATCACATAAATAGATTTATTACCAATAATTGGCTGGAAGAACCGAACAGAACTGAACTGCGCTAAATGTGATTCAAATTCAGCGTTGAGAAACAACAAAGTTAAACCTTTTTTCTCTCCGTCACAGACTGCGATGGAAGCCATGGGCCTGATTGCCATCATAGTGAATTGTTACCTGATTGGTCAGTGCGGTCAGCTACAGCGTCTCTTCCCGTGGCTCAGCCCCGAGATGGCCATCATCTCCATCGTCATCCTCGAGGTACTGCAGCTTGGTCCTGTGGGTCTTACCGAAGTGCTTAGAGCAGTGCTTTTTCAAACTTTTTCTCAGGGCACCAGCATTTTGTGACCCAGCACAAAATGTATGGTAATCAGAAAATGTGCCAGGTATTTAGGCTGCAAATAAGTTTACTACTGTCTTTATTTTTCTACCTGCAAAGACTTTGGAGGGGAGAGTGGCAGAATATACGCTGCGACAGATGTTTACACAGAAACATGTTACTGTCTGATAATTATAGAACACACTGTAATCATGGAGAGACTCAGGAGATATAACAAAATAGTTTAGAGCACTACTAACAGAGATTGCATTGTGTCTATCTATACTCCAATGCCAATCTTTATGAAAAGCACGAACACATGAACTGAAGCTCTCTTAGCGTTTCTCCTCTTACTTGCAACATATTTAGATAGTGGTACTGTTAGCTCTGCACTCTGTGCTTGCCTATATTCGGAAAAAGGTAAACAGCCTGCAGCTCTGTCTTGGCCTGATAAAGAAGTCAGGCCTATCAGGAGGAGGATTTCACGGCCAAGATGATGTTGTGCAAGAATTAGTTCAAGTGAAATACCCTTAAAGAGTCTTCTGAAGCTTTGTGCCTTATATCTGATTGGGATTGTACTTTCAGTGAATTCTTTTTTTGTATCGTCCATAACCTCGTCTTTCTGCCTGCCTGTGTGTCCGCAGCACTTTGCCATCCTCCTGAAGTACATCATCCATGTAGCCATCCCAGACATTCCTACGTGGGTCCGAGAGGAGATGGCTAAATTGGATTATCAGCGCAGGGAGGCCTTTAAGGTAAATTATGTGACAGCATAAGGAAATGTTGTTTGTCATGGAGAGGCTGCAAGTTCAGTAAGTACTCAGGGAGTTTGAGCAAGCCCTCAGAGGACTACCTCATTATGTGCAGAGTACTGTAATATAATAAAAAGCTATGGTAGTAGCAAAGCTTTCTGCTGCAACAAACTGTACTGCGACACTGCAGCTTTCTCTTTGGAGCTAAATTGCTTCTTTTAAACCCCGGGTGATATTTTAGTGGTGATACTTTTGAGAAACACAATTTGTAGAACATAGAAAATGGATTAGGCTGTAGTGGCCCCTGCAGTGCTAATGCAGGAGTCTTAGTAAGGGATTTGTTCAATGGGCAGCACTGCAGTATTGTAATGGTTAGCTGATTCTAGTAAATATATTGTGGGAATGTTTCTTTTTTCTCTGCAGAAGCATGAGCGACAGGCGCAGCAGCATTACCAGCAACTGCAAAGGAGGAAGAGGGAGGAGGAGGAGAGGCAGAGGCAGGTTGAGCACATGGCCCGCAGGGAGAGGGAGCGGGACGACAGCAAGGGTGACTCCTCTGGGGATCACCATCATGACAAAAGTCACAGCAGCAAATCACGCCCCGGGAGCGGAGGAGGAGGAGGGGGCAGCGGGTCAGACAAACCCAAGAGGCCCAGCTCTCTGTTGGCCAACAATAACGTGATGAAGCTCAAACAGATCATCCCGCTGCAGAGTAAGTTCTCCTCGAGTGGCGCCCGCTCCCCTCAGTCGCCCACTGGAAGTGAGCCGAAGCTGCCTGGGTTCCTGAGCTTCAAATTCCTCAAGTCACCTGAGAATAAGAAGGAAGGTGCTGCGGCTTCTGCGGCTGCCACCACAGCCACTAACGCCACAGCAGCAACATCATTATCATCTTCATCATCAGGTAGCAGCTCTCAGGAGCGTTCTCAGTCACCCAGCAAAGCCTTCAACCCTGGGAAACTGTTTAACTTTGGGAAATCTGAGGGGGGGACATGTGTGAACGGGGCTCCGCTGCCCAGACCGGGGGAAGGATCATCATCACAGACGTCAGATAGACAACCATCCAGGTCTGACTTGAACGGCGTTCCAGACGAGATCCCCTCGCCTGGAGGGGAAGGGTCAGAGAACGGACATGCAACAGACTTGGACCCGGCCGGCTCTAAAGTCTAGTAGCTCCTTAGACAAACAAACTTGTCGTTGGTTACATCTCAACTGAAGAAGTGATGTGTTTACTGTGAGGAGAGGCCTGACCTACCTTCTGTGCTATCGCAGGCTATGTGTGTAGAAGTACTTGAAGCAGAGAGAGAGGAGAAGATGAAACTAATGAGAGGTGACTGTTGTTTTGGTTTGCCTTTTTGCTGAGAGACAAAGAAACAGGCTTTATGAGAAAGACGTAAGCCCTCTTATCATGACCGAATAAAAACACACACACACGCACCCTCACACACAAACATACAAATCCTTCCTTGTCTGCAATACATAAAGAAATGCATGAGCTGCGTTTCTAATATTTTTAAGCCTTTAAAGCAGAGAGCTGTGTTTCTTGATTTCTTCTAGTCATAAATTGTAAGCATCTCGTTGGCCTCCCACTAGGACATAACAGCCTTATGTGGAGGGAAAAGATTAAAAAAACATATACAGTGGTATGAGAGGATCACAGATTGTACATCAAATAACTTCTGAGAGTGTTTTTAGCCGTCACAACACAAGTGATCATTAGATATTGTCTCATTTTTAACTGTGAGGAATTCTTGGGCCCTTCACTTTTATATTGAAGCGGGAAAAATGGAAAAGCAATATCAATCAGTGTTTTAATTACTCTTATCAATCATCACACAAACCCCTCCCTTAATAAGCATCCCTGATGCATCACCAGCTTTATTTTCAAAGCGGAGGTGATGTCTGAGCTTTGAACACTTCCTCCAATCCTGTGACAGTAGCAGACTTGTTCTAAAAGGAAGTAAAGAGCTTAGTAAGTCGAGCTGTCACGTACCAGTATTTTTCCCAAGGGAGCAAATGGAAGAGAGACAAGAAAAAGCAAAAAAAAAAAAAAAAGAGCAGAGGTAGTGGAAGGTGATTTTGAGAAAATGGAGCATGGGAGGCTGCTGTGTGCTGTTCTCTATCCAAGCCCGTAGAGCGCCGTGTAAACACAGATGGTGCTCCATTCCACACACTCTTACCAGACTTGGCAAACAAGCGTAGAGTTAAAGAAGAGACATTTGCACTAAACCCTTACGCCCTGCATAGAAACCTATCTCCCTCTGCAGGAGAGAGGACAGACACCAGCCTGCCTCATAACATTATGCAAAAGCTGGATTGTTTTCATTTCCTACTTTCACACGGTACATGCTATCTCCTCACCTGCCCCTGCTCTCAGCAACTATGGGATTTCCTAAATATCCAGATGAGTTTTTTTAACAATAGTTGCTCTTATTTCAATATCTCTCCATATCTTTTTTATACGCACCATTTGCTGCATTGCTTCACTGCAGCGCTCATGATGGGAATTTCCTTTTTTTAACCAAAGCGGTATTTTTCGGATTATACTGTTAATCCAAAATGTATGTACTGTATGTTCAGTTTATTATGTACAACAACACTGTTTAGGGTATACATTACGCTTCTCTTGTAAGCAAGCCCATCATCAACCATTACCAGGGTTTTAACTTCCGCCAGGTCTCCAGAGGGTGGCGCCAGAGTTCATTTGCATAGCAGAATATATTGTTGTCTGATTGATGCTTAACACCAGTGTCTGGTCACCAGTATAAAGCAGGGGCAGTGAAATTAGAGTGTGAGGATGCAGTTAAAAAGCTCTGTAAGAAAAATGTATTGTGGTGACATTAGGTAAGATGCACACTGAGAGACAGAAACATTAACTATGCATTTTCACATCAACACCTCTGGCAAGGATTTCGGCAATAACAGAGTTGTAGGAGACTTACCTGTATCACTATAAATCCAGACTAACTCCCTCACCCGCAGCACCCATCCTACTGCATTATCCCCAGCAAGACTCTATGCATCTCTTCTTTGTGTCCCCTCAATTTTCAATGTCAGCTCTCTCCTGTCTCGTATTTAATGTGAGGAATCTCCCCTGACTCACAATTAAAATAATAATAATCTCATCCATCTACGGTTCTGTGCTGACAGAATCTGTCTAGTCTAGAGGTGACGATGACATTGAGCTTCAAACTTCTTTTTTTTTTTTTCATATTTTGTCGCTCCATTCATGTGTCTGTAACAACTTCACACTAAGTATAGTCCACCTTTGAGTCACAAGTCTAAAGAAAACACAAAAACATATTTCCGCAGACAGGCAAAAAGGTCTCACTGACATTTAACGCAATAAGGGAAATAGACAGGACATCAGTTGGTGTGGTCGCAGTATCATCTTACTGTCAATCTACAGTCTGTTCTTTTTTATATTTGGACATCATTGTTCATCATAAATGTAAAATGAGAAGTGCAAGGCTGAGAGAAATTTAATATCTTCATTGTCTTTGTGTGTCACAGGCTGGTCATTGTTAAAGAAACCCATGATAGAGATCAGGATAGTAAGCGTAGCTGAGCTCAGTCTCATCAAAACCTTTATTCTAGCAGCATTTGTATTTCAGGGATGAGTGACACCATGGCGCAATAGAGTCCTCATATTGTTGTTTCTAAGTTTGTATAGAAAACGAGAAGCCAGTTTCAAAGCTGATGGCTGAAGCGAGAAGGAAGAGATAAGGGCAACAGTTTAGGTCATGCCTCCATGTATGTAGTTCCTCCTTATTCAGGGAAACCTTACAACTTCATTTGATAGAAATAGATAACATTAACCAACGTATCACTTCTGTCATCCTTGCACTCTTAGGAGCAGCAAATTCTGCATATTGTTAATATGGAGGTCTTAAATAAGCATCGGTTGAAATAAACTAACAGATCTTGGTTATCACTGAGAGCTACATCATGCCAGAGACAGCACCGGGCCAAGCACAGACGTCCCTCTCGAAAGGACAGCAGCTCAGACAGCTGAGACCGATCAGCCGTCTGTAATTCACAATCAAAGCAACAAAAGCAGCAGCAGTTCATTAAAGGATTTGGGCTTATCTAGACAGTCTAATGTGAGCCCAGTAGGAAAGGACTTAAGTTAGTAAATGAACTGTCTTTTTGTGGATTTTAAGAGTGGATGTGTACAGGTGAGGTTCTCACCACAGCTACATTAAAAACCCGACCCTAACCTCAAGAGTTTAAGATAAGACATCTTCATGGAGGCCTCACTTACCGAACATCATATGCTCTTCCAATGTACCACTGTACAAAAAAGATCTTTTAAAGAGAAACACTGGGAAATGGGATTATTTATTTCTTTTAATTTATTTTGTCATATTTTTGTAAGACCTGAAAAACAGTTAATAAAACTATTTCAAATGCATTCCATGTGTTGTGACCAACTTGTTTCTGCAAAACCATCACTACAATTTTTTTTCTTCACTCATGAATTTTGGTATCAGTACTAGGCATCAGAATCTCCTTAAAGTTTGTGTGTTGGATTTAGGGGCATCTATTGGCAGAAATAGAATCTAATATTCATAACTATGTTTTCATTAGCTTATAATCACATGAAAATGAGAAGTGTTGTGTTTTCATTTGCTTAGAATGAGCCATTTATATCTACAGAGTGGGACCTCTTCCACTGAGTCCGCCATGTTGTTCTACAGTAGCTCAGAATGGCCAAACTGAACACTGACAGGGCCATTTGCATTTTTTTTTTAAATTTTATATACTTTATTAATCCCCTGAGGGGAAATTAGATTTTTTCACTCTATTGTCATGAACACACAGGTCCGAAATACACACAAATGCACAAGTGGAGACATGTCAGAGAGAGGGGGCTGCCATAGACAGGCGCCCTGTGCAGTTTGGGGGTTCAGTGACTTGCTCAAGGACACCTCGGCAGTGCCCAGGAGGTGAACTGGCACCTCTCCAGCCACCAGTCCATGCTCCATATTTGGTCCGGACAGGACTTGAACTGGCGACCCTCCGGTTACCAACCCAAGTCCCTATGGACTGAGCTACTGCCGTCAGCCGTCACAATTCTCCTGCATGCTTTGCACTCAGAAGTTTCAGATTTGCATCCTCAGCACTAGATGCCACTAAATCCTACAAACTACATCTTTAACCCAAGGATGGATAATCGTCTATTAGAAGTACCACACGACAAAAACCCAGTTTCAATCCAGTTTTATTTCAGCAAAGCTATAAAGAACATATCTGATCTAACACACATGAGATGGGGCAAGGCTTAGGGTGTTGTAGAACAGTCTATCTGAGCAGAAGCATAATGTGGTTTTACACTTCAGAAACAGACAGTATTTACACCGTAGGTAGGAAGATGACTGACCACACTGTCAACCCACATTGCAGCATCGACTGAAAATAAACAACGACAGGAAGGACAGGAGGCTTCGACGTGACTGATTATATTAAATAAAATTAAAAAAAAACAAAAGCTATATTCAGTGTTGTACAGTATATGACACCAATACAAACTGAATCTCAGGAACAAGGCAGGATGGCAACTGCACTTTGCTGTGCATGCTTATTGTGCATTCTATGGCTGAAAATATAACACCCCTTTAACCCCCCTGTGTTCATCTAAACCAGCTCTCAGACAAAAACCATCCAGGGCTGTCACAAAGACAGGGCGAACAGTACAGCTGTCCCAGCCCCTGAGCTGGGGGAGCTAAAGGGTCCGAACCATGATGACAGGTTGTAAGGCCTCTAGGCTAATACCTTCCACAGTCACACAAGATAACACCACAACCCCCAAAACTCCTTAAGTTGTATTAATGGGCCAGGAATATGATACCCAGCCGCGAAAACATCAACATGCAAGGCAAGGTAACATCCACTGGGCACTGGGGCTCTTTTCTTTACTGTCCCAAGGGTCATTTTCTATCTCATCCATGGGCATGTATTATTTTACAAAAAAGGCAGACACAAAGATACTCCGTTGGATAAACTAATTCTGGTACTGGCAATTATTTACACACATCATAATGTATTCTTTTTTTTCCCTTTTCCAGACATTACAGATTTTTCTTCACTATCTGTGCTGTTACCTTTTTGTGCACCTGAAAATCCAACGTTTCAATTTACAACTCTATATTTAGGCTCCCTTTTCCTTCTCTTTTTCTTTTACATCCTTTGATGAAAGAGCAGCTAAAACTCATCCTTATGGGCCTCGATTAGCCAGAAGGTGGTGCTAGATGTAAAAAATATTTCTCAGAAACACCAACACGACATTAATCCTACGAGCACAAGTCCCAGAATAGAATGAAGATATGCATATTCACCATAAACACACATCTACGGGGGATTCTGGAAGAGTTGCTTCTACGTTGTGCTGTTCTTCACAGTGCAGTCTTGGTTATGTTGATTCAAACAGTGGAGAAATGTCGCAATGCCCCCATGTGGTTGCAGAGTGGGCAGTGAAACTGAGAGGGTGGGCACTGTGGCTGGCAGGAAGCTCATTGCCATACATAAACAATAAAAGTTATAATAAAGTTAAAAAGGTAACAAAAACATATCTTTGCACATATCAGGACTGACTCTCCAGGTGACAGAAGAAGGCTACACAAGTCATGTACCAGTTTATGAGACTGTTTGTGAGGGTAGTGTCTGACTTTATCTGTCAAGTCCCTCTCCAATTTTTAATCTACTGACACTCTTTCAACTTCTCATTCACCACACACATACAGTACAATACACAGGGTTGCTCACCTACACAGGGAGTAGCCAGTATAAATAAGAAAAACCAGTACAGTGCTGCAGAGATGACATGTTTTTGTAAGCCAACCTGGAAGTTAGCACCGCCCTTGTTCCCTCAACAAAAAACAATTGTTTTTTTTCCCACTGGATTTTGCATTGATGCAATTTAAAGCTCTGTGATGAATAAAAGTTTATGATACTTAGTTTTGTCCAGCAATCTTAACAAATTAATACCACTTTTATGATTTTTTAAGCCTAAATGCAATCATCAGAAATAAAAAAAGTTAACATAAGCCTTTAAGTGAGCTACACCACTGTTGCATGACTTCAACATCACCACCACCCTGGGGCTTTAAAAGCCGTGTCTGGCGTGATGATGTTCTGTACTCTCATTTAGCCACTTGTTAGCAACCACCTTTGGAAGACACTTAAAAGCTACAAAATTCACAAGTGGGGTATTTACTTACATATTTCACAATACGTGAAAATCCCTTAAGCTTGGCATTTAATCAAAACCTCATTCCAAAAACACATTGAATTTAAGACGAGGGAACCAGAAGGGCAAAAAATGCTAACTCATTTCTGGGTTTTAGAAGTCATTCCTGCAACACTCTGCATCATGAAGTTCCCTCTCGGACAACCGCTCTGTCCTGTGACGGACAGTGACTTTGACATGTTTTCTGGTTACATAAGTTTCACGCACACAATCTTTACACCATAAATGGCTGCTTTGTTGACAGGAATTTCCCTAATTCTCAATGGATGACTCTTAATTTCATACAAGGACAGACATCCTGTTAGACTATCCTTTGGTTTTGTTAAGTTTAAACTGGCTACACCCTGTATATGAAAGCACACACACAGTCATTCATTTATACACTTTCTCTCTCTCACTCATCCTCTCTCCCTCTCACACTGGCACGCGCGCGCACACACGCACACACACACACACACACACACACACACACAGAGTCATACACACACACTTATGAGTCCTCGTTCATCTCTTGGCTATCTGTCCTGGCGATCTTCCTTGGGGGTGCCGGACTATCACCCTCACCTTGTTCCTGTTCCCTTTTCTTTGCTGCATTCTGTGTGACAGAGGATTAAACAGCAGTCAGTAACATCACACAATTTCTAAATGATAATAACAATAATAATAATAATAATAATCCAGCAACCAAAGACCAGACACAATGGGGCTCATGATTAACTTAGACCTAACAAAGACACAGAATGGCATTAAGTCAGGCCAGATTAATGAAATCAACTCCAAAGAACTGCACATGCTCACCTTTTTGTCCCACTGCTGATGGAGGTAACGCAGAAGGATGTTGGTTTTCTCTGTTACAATAACTGTAGAGCAAACACAGTCAGCATATTACTGAAAAAATATGTTTAAAGCTGATCAATTTAGAGTACGGTCTCCCTATAATGATGCCAGTTTACCCTTAGTTACCAATCTTTAGTTAAGACATATCTGTGATCCACTATAATAACAGCCTCTGGTACTACGGCCTTACTGTTAATTTATGATTTTAGCTTTTAAATGTTTCTCCCATAGTTTTCATTTCGCTGTGAGGTTGGTACTTACTCTGTTCAGATGGGTATTCTCGTGTTGGAAGGTACACAGAGGGCCTTCGATTCTGCAAAAACAGGATAGAAAGAGGTTTCACATTTGTAGCTGTGCATTCCGCTTATGCATTTTGTGTGTTTAATTTGATTAAGGAACAATCACAACATTTATGACAGCCTCTATGTGATTTGTCTGAGGAAATACTTTAGATGAATGTTAGACATATATTACTAAGGAATAATAATGACAGCCTACAGACATAAATATTAACATAGGCTACTTACAGATGCTTTACAAACGGAGTCTGCATGAAACCTGCTGAAGTTGCTCTTATTGTAGACAGGAAGTCCTTTCAAGAAATCGGCCTGCGGGGAGAGGGTGAGGGGATGATTATACCCTACAGCTCTGGTTCAGTGAATGTCTTTACCTGTATCTTGCATTTAATTAGACCCTTAACACTGCGAGCCTCAAGTCATCAGTCAATCTGCCCTCCATTGATAATCTAATTTCAGCAAACAGACTTCTTCACCTGTGGCATTTCGTAACAGCCCATATTATTGATTTACATCAGTGTCGGTGAAAAGAGTCTTCTAATACAGATGTTAGGTGGGCGGAGGGTGGCGAAGAGCACAGATGAAGAGTCCTTGAAAATGACTGTAGATAGAGGATATCAGTCAGTGCTGGGCGTCCCCTCATCTTTAGAAACCCATGCACGCTAACAGGCCTGCTGCTCTCCCTGCAACGTCCCCGGTAACCTCTCAACTGGAGGTGATGATATCAGATACGGTGTACAGCAAGTGGTTTCAAATTAACAAGTCAGAGCACAAATCGATGCCGGCTTGGCCTCGGTGAATGAATGCCAACACGAGAAGCAGGTGTGGCTAACAGCTATCTGTTACTCACAGTCAGTTAGCTCGGTGTTACCGTATGCCCTCTGTTAAGTGTTGTGCAGCTTGAGCTAACGCTACGAGCATGGCGTATGTGGAATAAGTACCTTCTCCATGATGATGGTGGTTTCCAACGTCGAAACGCCGACTCGTGGACTCGGCTTGGTGTCTGTTGTGCTGGTCGTGATGGCAGGCAGTGTGAGTATGTTACGGTTAGCCGCGCTAGCTTACAGACGAACGTTAGTTAACCGACACGGCTGTCCTATCGGGTCCTCTTGGCAAAGAAAACAACGGCCTTCACACACTGGTTGTTGTTTCCATCCTATATCCCAGTGTCCATGAAGAAATGATACAACTCACAGTGAAAACAAACCAATATGTCATTGCATGATTTAGCAAAGCTAGTTGCACAGGACTTCTTCAGCTAGCATGATGGCTGGATGGTAGCGATGCTTCCTTGGCCACGCCCCGAGAGCGCCCATTGGCCCACCATTGCTCTCACGTGGTAGTAGCTTGACCTGACAGCCAATCAGAAAGCACAACAGAGGTTAGCCCCTCCCTAAAACATTGACTGGGAAATCTTGCTCCCACATGATGAGCTTCATTATAAAAAATATTGCCAGATACTCACCACCTAACAAAGTATTTACCTCTCATTAATACAGGGGTGTTAAATTTATTTTAGTTCATGGGCTACATACAGCTCAGTTTGATTTTAAATGGGCCAGACAAAAAAAAAAACAAAAAAAAACAGTACATAATAACCTGTAAATAACAACACCTCCAAATGTTTCTCTTTCTCTTGGTACAAGCACTTTCTGAAAATGTTCATCCAATTACAAAACAGATGATAAACCGCCTGAGATGTCTTAAGAGAAATAAATGTAATTTGAACAACATGCCTCAGTTTTTAAATGTACATTTTTCCATACATTTCCACTCTGGCATCACCACGCCAGTCTGAAGTGAAAGCTGTTGAATAAGCATGTTAAATTACCCCCTGCCTTACAAACTATTTGCAAATCTTAAGTTTTGGCAGTGTCTTACCAATAGGGTTCCACCAATATTGTTTTAAGTCAGAAGTCTGATACAGATTCTTCTGTGCTGAAGCTGCTGATTGACAATCTTTTGCCAATTTTTTGACAATGTTCCATATATTTAAATATGACCACAATAAGTATTCATTGTCACTTCAGAGGACTGTATTCTGGTCAAGTTGGGGGAAAAAATCAATACAGCGTAGTATCACAGTATTTTATCATCACACAGGGCAAAGTATCCATTTTTTAATATGTAAATTATTAATATGACAAATACAAATCAAACTTTAGGTAGCCTACTAGAATATTATTATCAATTGCTTTTTCAGTCCACTAGATACATTTTGCTGCTACAAAAATAATGGTTGAAGTGAGATGAAGAGACTGAAAACTTTATTTTATTAGACAAAACAGATGTTGCAAAGTTTTCCTCTGGGGACATAATTTACATTGAAAAAAGGCAATATATTTTGTCCCAATACTCAGCATATCGCAACATATTTACAATCGTAATAATATTGTATTTTGACTTACGTATTGTGGTCTGTGGAAAGCCTGCAGCTTTTTACATGAAGTAGACTACTCACTGTTTAACTTGCTCCTCAAACCTGACTCCTCTTAGCCTTTATATGAGCATCAATATTTGGTGTGCTGAGTCATCCAGTGGGCCAGTTCTGGCCTGTGGGCCATATGTTTGACACCCTTGCCTTAATACATCCAGTGATTTAAGTACATGTATTTCCTATATGTACTGATCTTACTCCCTGCACAGTGAAGCCCATGGGACAATTAACTGTCCTGTTCTCCAGTTCAAGTTTATGTATCATTCCACCTACTAAAAATACAGCTGGATGAAATAAAATTTCTCTCAGGACCAGGGTATAAAAACAAAGGGTTGGAATCAGTTAAAGATAAAGGCATTGAGAGGCACTGTTGCATTTTCAAGCTTTTGGTTTACTAATACATGGTCTTAAAGCTGTAATAATGCTTCCTTTTTATTGGAATCAGTCTAGTCTTCTTTGGTGTTCTTTTGGTGCCCAGGTTTGTGCCTTTTCAGCATATTCAGTATTTCTCATGCAACAAGATACTATAGTAATACCGAAATCAGTACATCCTGTTTTGTGACCATCACAGATTATCAAAATAAACCTCTAAGTAACTGTTATTTGTTACAGCTGGAGGGAGACCTACATTATAATTAGCTCAGTGGGTTTGCTGGGTCTTGATTTCTGTGGTCCTCCTCACACCTCACTGGCACCTGCCTCCTGGACTCCTTAGTTACCTAGCAACAACAGCCATGGCAACTGCCACAGCACCAGCTACTTATGGTGCTAGAGAATGGGATGCTGATGAGATGCAGGGAGCATTTTTTGCTATCGTGGAATATTTTTTATTCAATGGTAACTTGAGGAGATTTGTGTAAAACAGACATGAAAGCATTTAAAATATTACAATTCTAAATTACCACGAGAGGATACCTTCCTATTTTTGATCCTCCCATGTCTTTAAAACAAATGTGAAAATGCTTTCAAGGAACTTTTCCAAGCATTCAAGTAAGCCTAGTAAAAACAGCACTGTTACAATATCTGGTATACCAGTTTCAACCTAACAGATTTAAGGAACCAACCAAATTTAAGGATAGATATAATCTCCTCAGCCTGGCTGTGGCCCTGATGAAGATCATCTGTGAAACGATTCTTAAGTGTTACATCCCACAACCTGTGGCCCCATCTCAGCTTATTAGGTATTATACATCTACACACTGTATGGTGACAGCCAATAAAAATAATTGCAAGAATAGTGCATCCATTAATTCGCCACTTGAAGTAACATTTGCAAACTTGGAATAAGTGGACGACCATGTGATGTGATTCTGCCATTAGCTGAATAGCTTTAGCCTATAGGCAGAAAGATTTTTTTATAGACAAGACAAAAGTTGATTCCAATTTAAAATAACTAAATAAATAAATACAATTTTAAAAATGAAAACAAAAATACATAAATTAATAATAATAATAATAATAATTATAACCAGTGGTAATATTTTTTAATATATTCTGAAGACAGCAGTGTTTTTATTTTTATTTTATTTGATTATTTGTTTTAAGCAAAGGCCTATATCCACTGATTATCTCACGTCACACGGCAGCAGGGGGCAGCTCTTCCCATCCACAAACGGTACCGGGAGGTTTCAGTGGTTCAGCCTCACCGACAGCTAATGGATTAAAAAACACGCTGCCATCCGGCAGAGCTCCGGCGCGTCTCCGGGCGCTGTCACCAATATTTCAACATGGAAGTGAGTGCTGGAACGTGCAGATATATTGGATCTACCCCTGAAGCACACAGAGAGATATGCTGTCAGTAGGCTAAATACTGGCCGCCATGTGGAGGCTACCTACAGAATCCAGATAAATTAGATTAGTGGATTGACTGCAACAGATTATAGCTCTCCTAGTTCCTCGATGCTTCATAAGAAAACCTCATCAATCTGATCATATTTCAAGCGGGGTTTTTGGAAATATAAAGGTAAGCATTTTTTCTTTCATGCCACCTACTTCTCTTTTTACTTGGTCTGGATTGTTTTGTGATATTAGCCTATACTTTATACTGTAGGTTATTCACAACAGAGAAGAGTTAGGTCGCTGCATATCAAGTTTGATTGCAGTTAACGGAGACAAACGGGTAGCTGAGTGTTACTAAATTATTACATTAATTTTGATCCATCAGTACAGTAGACTGAAGGGGAAAACATTCTGGCCCATGTTTCATTTGCTGCACCAGACCTCAGTGAGTGGCCTATTCAACTCGCTTTATTGTTAATAGTGAATAAATGGGCACCATTAGCTTTACTCTAAACACCAGTTTGCTGAGTGGGCAAAAGTGTTAAAACTGTCCAATTTGAAAAGCTGAATTTTGTACAAAATGCACAAAGGGTTCAAAATATGTTTTAAATAATAATAAATTATGTTTTGCTGAACACTGTTATGGATTATCCCATTAGTTGTTTTTAGAGCTTTGTCTTCATACAGAGCAACATGCAGACAGCAATTTGTCTTAAGGAGTGTAATACTATAACACAGTCCTTTCATGCTGAAACTGTCTTGCAGAACTCCCTAATAAAGATATATTTCAAAGATAAACATTTAGCACTACTTATTGATTTAATTGTAGCACACATCAGCAAGCTCAGAGAATCAGGATTCAGTGTTCAGTGAAACATAATTTAGAAAGCAAGGTCTGTCAACAGTGAACCTGCTGTAGTTGTTTTTAATCCCCATGACAGTCTCTGCTGTTTTCTTGGCACCAGTCCACGCTGTGTGTGTCTGACCTGCGTAAATCGTTATATAACAGCCTCCTGCGGTCACTGTCAACAGAAGACACCTACAGTAGTGACCACAAGAGGAACTCACTGCATCATACAGTATGGTGTCCAAATGTCCAAGCACAGGAAAGCAGGCCTATTCAATAATGAGACAAAACACTAAGACATTACTGTAGGCCTGACAAAGTGCTTTCTACTATAACATAATATTCTGTTCCATCAGTTAGGGAAGCAGCATTGTGACTGTGAGGAGGTCAGGTCAGTCCTTGGATCAGCTTGATAATTGGGGTGTAAAAGGTGAAATAGTGGACCTTGCCTTTTCCTCCTTGCTGTCAGGAGCTGCCCTTTAATGAGACAGTTGACACCTGGCTGCTGCAGTGGCCACCAGAAGACAATGGTTTGACTGGGCAGGCACTGTCAGGCGTGATAATAACATTCTTTGAAAAGATTCAAGATTCAAAAGAAGAAATAACACAACCTTTCTCTTACAAATAAAAAGCTAAATTGATATGCAATAAGATGCACCATTGCTCAATTGAAAACATACATGGTTTTGCCATTACTTGGTCTGCTATGACCAGAACCTTATGGTGGCTAATGTTTAGACAAATCATACGGTGTAACTGATTTTACTCTTTAGCAATAACCATTGTCTCAGAAGGGCAAGTAAGACAGCGACTACCTGTTTAAGGAGTCCCAAGTCCTGTACCAAATGTGGTCTAGTTAGTAATGGTGTGGCCTAATCACTGCCATCTATGCATTCCACCAAACTGGATGAATGATGATATGCCCTACAAGTGAGAACTGGATGAACATGCACTTGCATCATGCACAATGTAGGCTATTCTCAAAGCCTGAATGTGCTCTACTCACTGAATAATATGCAGTATACAGACTAAAATAGAATGACAAGGGGGACCGTGATGAAAAAGTTTTTAAAGTTGAGGTCTAATATATGAGGAGGACAAGAGAAATCTGGCAGTTTAAAAAAGTGGCATGGTGGATGAATGAGAGTTTTTACACTTTTAAGGGTAGAAAAGGGTTTTGGGATTGGTTCAGCCCATGATAGTAAAAGATATATCTATTCTAGTGTCTAATGTCTAATGTAAATGGACTCTAAGAAACAGACTGTCACCAGAGTAGGCTGTGGAAGAAAGAAAAAATAATTGCATATATCACAGGCCACACCTTGTGCCTGGGTAATGAGTGCCTTTTGATGTTAGAATAATATTAGCAGTAAATGTGTCTCTCTCATAATGGCCTGCTCAGCCTCCTCCAGTCGCTTCGCACACAGCACTGTACAACACCGCTGTTTGGATAAAGGATGTGCAAGTATAAGCAGAAAGGGCACGGGAATAGCCAGCAAAGCAGGAATGCTGTTTTGCATTGTGTCCGTAATCCCCAGATGAAAGCGGCCGCTGATGAGGTGCAAGTGCAGAAAAAGATGCAACAAAACTGTTGCCGTACGGTGTCTCTGTTTTCATGGAGAGAAGAGATAAACAGATTGTGTTGTTTGGACTTAGACTGAGAGGCAGAGAGTATAATCCCCTCTAGCAGGGAGAGGAGCAACAGGGCAGCAGGATAATGCCACCAGCAGAGAGACTTGCAGACCCTGCTTGGCTGCTGTGCTGTTGCCATGGTTGGTAATCAACAACAACCTAATATGCACTGCATTCTGTCCCTGCAGTATGTATGGGACATGCATTATACAGTCTCATCTATTCTTTGGATATTAACTTCTCTGATGGTGAATTGTTCAGCTTTCTAACTTTATTCTTTAATATGATTTAAGAAGCATACCCACAGGGCTATAGTTCACAAAAAGTACCATTGTTGGTTGCTCTGTGGTTTTGACAGACTGTATGGCAGTGTATGTCAGCGCAAAGTGATCACATGGCATACAGCTTTAACTCAGGGAGCTATTACTGGTCGCATCTATTAATACCTCCAAAGTCTGCGCTGAGGCAAGATGCTGTTCAGTTACGTCTGACAGAAAGTCTCAAGGGTTTCAGTTGTAATTAGACGCAAGATTGTAAAGGCACAAGAACTTGTTTACCTCTTTCAGTGGTACATTTAAGGTTCCCAGATGCTCACTTGATGTAGAGATTTAAAGATTTCTGAGGATAAATAGGAGAAAGTATGACATATCCCTACATTAGAGTGATAAGAGCGATTGTGGAGCAGATGCTTACACTGATATTTGGTAGTAAGAACATTATGGTAACAATGTACTGTGTGATGATCTTTTTAAAGTAAGTGTATGTACCAGTAGTGCACATCAATGCAAAACTTAAAGATCATACAGATCCATCATAAAACTCTCAGTGGTTGTGTTATCAAAGAATTACAACAAAGATACGTACAATAAGAACTTGTCTTTTTCTGGCCAGATACCATTATCTGCTTATTTGTATATTAATCAGCACACACAATTTATGGTATACATTGCTGATATTTTTTTTAATTTAAAGATTCTTATGCCTCCCGGTGGGCGATACCCATGGCCAGAGGCATTATGTTTTTAGGTTGTCTGCCCAGTCATACGTAGGTTCACAAATTCTCGTGAACCCAGTAACTCAAGAAGGCAAATTTGGCACAACTGTCCACTTGGACTCCACAATGAACTGATTTGGCGTTCAAAGGTCAAGGTCACTGTGACCGCTTATATCTCAACCTATGTCTAAACGCTATATCTCAAAAACACCTTAGGGATTTTCTTCAATTCTGCACAAATGTCCACTTAGTCTCATCAATGAAATGATTACAATTTGGTGGTCAAGGTCACTGTGACCTTACGTCTGTCTCATGAACGCAATATCTCAAGAGGGCCTTGAGGGAATTTCCTCAAATTTGTGTTCACTTTGACTCAGGGATTAACTGATTAGAATTTGATGGTTGAAGGTCAAGGTCACTGTGACCTCAGAAACATAACACTGCCTATAACTCAAAGAATTCATACACTAATTATGAGAAAATGTCACACAAATGTCTAATAGGATAAGATAATTTAGTGATGATATTTTATATGCAAAAGGTCAAAAGTCAGCTTCACTGTGACATCATAATGCTCTGCAAAAACACTCTCCTGGCCAGTATTCAATGTCGTATCTCAGGAACAGAAGGGGAGACATTTGGTCAGATACTGAATTGTTGGGTGTCCATCTTGAAACTGATTGTATAGATGTTATGTGCTGTCAGATTAAAGATGTGTATGAAGAGACCATGTTTTAGAATATGTGGCTTCTTTGCAGCAACATCCATATTTGAAGCATTGTCTACTGCCATGGCTACATATGAGTCTGGACAGATATGGATGTAAACTGTAACTGCAGCTTAATTCATTCATTTTTTTAGCTGTTTTCGTGGCTGTCTTTTGTCTTTTTCAATCTGAATTTGCTTCAACAGTTAAAATACTTACAAGTTCATTGCTCTTGATATAATGCATTTGAAAATCACAGGTATTAAATAAATACATTTGGATTTTTTTTATATGTTTGCGATAAGCCAGTAGTGGTCAATAATAACAGACCTTAGATTTATCAATCAGTGGGTTCATCTAGGCTGTTAAGCTTCACATAAAGATATTTTACTAGTTTTTACTGGCCTTATAGTCTATATAAGTTCTTGCTTGTGGTTCCTTTAATAATTTATGTAACTTTGGCTTTTCTGTGACCTTGTTTCTGTCATGTTTACATGTGTGTTTTTGTATAAATGTAATCCCTACAGAGTGGCAGCCATGCTGACCAGCTTTATGGAGGGTCTTCTCTGCTGCCTGACCTCCAAGTCTGCCAACGTTGTGGTTCCTGTAGAAACTTCAGAACCGGCTGACGGCTACGAGTTTGTGGAGGTGAAACCAGGCCGCGTACTGCGGGTTCGACATATAGTCCCTGACCGGCCGGTGGTGGAGGAACCCACTGGGCCGGGTGGGAGTGTAAGCTGCAAACGAAAGATCACAGTATACCGTAATGGACAGCTATTCATTGAGAACTTGGGTGACAGGGCGAGTGCTGAACTTAAAAACTGCCAGAATGGGGAGACAGAACCAAACAGTACTGTAGAGGTTGAACTGACAGACTGTGGTAACTCCTCACCGCCCGTCAGCATCCCTGAGCCCAGGTCTGAGTCTGGAAAAGATGGAGCAGCTGAAACAGGAGCAGGAGGAGAGGCATCTGCTGCTGGACAGACTGACCAGTCGCAGCAACCCAGGAAGCGCAGGCGGAAGCCCAAGCGCACAGTAGTGATTGACTGTGAGAGGAAGATATCAGCTTGTAAAGGGACACATGTAGACGTGGCTCTGTTCTTCATCCATGGAGTGGGAGGCTCCCTGGACATCTGGGGAAGCCAGCTGGACTTCTTTTCCAGGCTGGGCTATGAAGTGATCTCTCCAGACCTAGCAGGTCATGGAGCCAGCTCAGCACCACAGATAGCTGCTGCGTACACTTTCTACGCCCTGGCCGAGGACATGAGATTGATCTTTAAGAGATATGCACGCAAGAGGAACATTCTCATAGGACATTCCTATGGGTAAATTTAAGATCTCTGCATTAATATAACACACAGTTGAGTATAGAGAGGGTCCAGAAGGCTTTAGGGTATGTGGGAAAAAAGTGAGAACTTGAAAGATACTGAGGACCCCAGACAAGCAATACATCATTTGTATTTACATATGTCATTTATGTATAATATAATTACATCACTTACAGCATCAGTGAACTGAAGATTGACATAGTTGGATACAGTTTATAATTACTGTATGCTCTAGTAATTGCGTCTGTCTCATGAAAGCAATGTACGCATGTATTTTAATTACTTCATCAAAGTTATGTAACTTGTTACATTTTTAAATTAATTTTCTATCAAATGTTTTAAACTGGGGAAAAAATGTCCAGAAATAGGCTTTAACAAAAGATGGGTAAAAGTTGCAAAGACTTTTTACCAAAATGAATATATTAGGATGCAACCCCCTTGCAATCACCAACATTTTGATAAGTAACTGTGATTTAATTACATATTTTTCTAAGTAGCTGCAACTTAATGCAACTTATTGTTGCATTATTTATTTTGTAACACTGCCTGTTCTGTTCTGCTCTCCTAGTGTGTCGTTCTGTACCTTCTTGGCCCATGAGTATCCGGATCAGATCCACAAGATGGTGATGATCAACGGCGGTGGTCCCACAGCTCTGGAGCCCAGCCTCTGCTCCATCTTCAAACTGCCCACCTGTGTGCTCCACTGCCTCTCCCCGCTGCTAGCCTGGAGCTTTCTCAAGTAAGACAGACAGCAACACCATGTCCATCAGTCCAAAGATCTTATATTTAATCTGACTGACAAACTAACTCCACAGCTGTAATCAAGTGAACAAGAACTGTTTCAACTGACACACCCAAACATTTATGTTGTTGGCTACAAGTGTGATATTTATGCTAATTCTCCCTCCATGTGGCGCTGTGTTGTGTTCATCCCACCCACAGTTCAATGTCATCGTAATCCTGTTTTTGTTTGTTTTAAGCCATTTGTAATTTAGGTAAATCTCCTCTGCTCTGCCCCCTACAGGGCCGGCTTTGCTAAACAGGGTGCCAAGGAGAAGCAGCTGCTGAAAGACAACAATGCCTTCAACGTGTCGTCCTTTGTGCTGCGTGCCATGATGAGTGGCCAGTACTGGCCTGAGGGGGACGAGGTTTACCATGCTGAACTCACAGTGCCCATTCTGCTGGTTCACGGCATGCATGACAAGTTTGTCCCTGTTGAAGAGGACCAGCGCATGGCAGAGGTGAGTGGGCCACTTCAACCCACAAAGCCCGGGATTCAAACTGGGAAACTGACCCTGCTTAAGACACTCCAGTCATATTGTGAACCAAATGTTTGGTTAGAGTGAGAGAACCAGATGGTCAAAATGAGTCATGTTTGTGTCTGGATCATAAGAATGAAGATGAAAAAGGACTTAAGATATTTTATTTTTAGATGGTTTAGGCCCTAAAGTACTAAATTCTTAACCTTTGATCTGTTGTATTTGGAGATTAATCCTCACCATTTCCCCACAAAACTCAAACATTTTTCAATAATTTTTACCATTTCTTAAACTATATAATACCTATTATAAGATTTTTTTCTTATTATAATCAAATGGAAAAAGGCTCTCTGAAACAAAGGAAATCAATTAAAAAATCTCAAAGTGACTATAACTAATTATTAATAATTAATAGATCACATAACTGTGTAAAATGAAACAATAAAATGGCCTGTTATGGATCACTGTCTCTGCTCTCATCAATCTTGTATCCAGATACAGCAGGAAGCTGTTCTCAGCAAACAAGCTGTAATAAACCCACTGTACACGCCCTGCTCAGCACCAGACAGCAGATGGATAAAATGAGCACTAGCTGATGAACATAATGGAGGATGTGGTGCTGATGAGCCAAATATTTCTCTCAGGAGTTGGTGGAGACCAAAACTGAGCTTAAAGGAGAGTGATTAAATATCTCTGTGTCTGCTGTGTGTGGAAAAAGGCAAATATTTGCGAACAAACTTGCCACATAATAATTTATATGCTGATAGTGTCAGTCAGTGTTGTGTTTTCAGCTTGTTTCCAAAGCCACCCAGTGACCAAAAAATGTTATTGCAGGTTTAAGGTGTTTTTTGGTCATCAGTGGTCAACAGTGATGTAAAGCATGAGAAATTTGAAACACTGCAACTACATACGACTACCTGAGCTTCAAGGACTGTTGTGTAGGCTGTTTCTCAACTGGAGCTCTGAGGACCCTTTGTGGTCTGTGAAATAGTAAAATATATATCATAAAAGGGCGGCACAGTGGTGCAGTGGTTAGCAATGTCGCCTCACAGTAAGAGAGTTCAAATCCAGGGTGGGGGGTCCAAACCCCAGGGTTGGGAGCCCCTCTGTGCAGAGTCTGCATGTTCTTCCCATGTCACCTAGGGTTTTCTCCAGGTACTCCAGCTTCCTCCCACAGTCCAAAGACATGTAGGTTGATTAGTGACTCTAAATTGCACATAGGTGTGAATGTGAGCGTGAATGGTTGTCTGTCTCTATGTGTCAGCCCTGTGATAGTCTGGTAACCTGTCCAGGGTGTACCCCACCTCTCACCCAATGTCAGTTGGGATAGGCTCCAAAAAGAGGCTTTATGAAAAGGATTACAACATTTTAACATTTACTTCAGCTGAAGCTGAACCATCACAACCTCTCTGTTTCCTGTGTGGAGAGGTTCTGCAAGGATGCTTAGGGCTGCTCAAAATATATAGGAGGTCCACAAAAGTTTAGAACTACCAATGTAGAAGACCAGATTACTCCCTTCAGTGAACTCAATGATGTAACATGGTTACACCTCCCATCAAAATTACAGTAGCTCTTGTTCAACTAGCTTGAGAGTGTCATTTCTCGATCTACAAGAGTACCTTGGAATTCTGATGAAGGGCACTTCTGATTGAGAGACTGAATTGCTCTTTGATTTAATTTATCATAGTATTTGAATTGTTGAAAAACTCATAGACATGGGCTGTGATTCAGAGGTCTAGAACCAGGCCAGGCACAAAACATAAAGTGGCAGCTGTTTGTTCTAAATTGTATCTAACTTATTTTTTATTTCTGCTCATAACTTTCCTTCAGATCCTCCTCATGGCCTTCCTGAAGGTCCTGGAGGATGGCAGTCACATGGTCATGATGGAGTGCCCAGACGCTGTCAACACACTCCTGCATGAGTTCTTGCTCTGGGAGCCGGCTGCCCCTCCACCGCCAAAGAAAGAGTCCAAAGCACGTCCAGAAACTGCCAAAGCTCAATTTGACAGTACCAAGGCTACATCTGACCCTTCCATAGTCCGACCTGCAACTGCAAGGCAGACCTCGGACGAGAAGCCAGACAGCAAGGCCAAGAAATGACTGAAAGTTAAAGCTTTCAGTGGTTACTACATGATATCATGGCTGGCCATGTACTGGGGTCCTGATAATCTGAGTCGGTTGTAGCTGTTGAACCTGATGCTGAGCCAAGAGGAGCCAGTTCATCTGAAATGGTCTAGCTAAATGTTGGACAAGTGAAGGTGTGACGCAATGCAGAGAATTCAAGTCTGAGTCCAGTTATATCAGCTGCTGAGCTGAAGGACAGAGGAAAAAGGAGCTCCACTAATGGATGCTGGAGTTTCACTCTTCAGCTGACAGCACCCTGTCCTCAACATACAGCAGGGTGGATGCAGCTGTGCCTTGAAGTGGAGGGTGGTGATGATGACAGGGTAGGCGAAGCAAGAGACAGAAACGGTAACATACTGCCACGAGGGTGAACCAAGTTCTCAAGCTGGAAAAGTGATAAAACTTGAAGTGTAGACAAATCAAAAAGTTTCACCTGCCACACACTGACAGCTACATTTTAGAAAGAATAACACTTGATGGCCTGGTCTGACTTATGCCATCCCTAAAATGTGGAGAATAAAAGGAATGGTTTGTATGAAACATGCTCTTGGTGACAACTGCTACACTGCCCTACGTAAAGCAGCAGCAGAGCCTAAACCTTTTGGACACTAGCTGGATATTAAACTAGCCGAATGTATTATTATGTCAAATTGTGTCATGATGAGATAGGTGTGTGTCAGAGGAAGTTTTGTTGCACGGATTTTCTATTGCACATGATGGATTTCAAACCTCACTTCTTGTGAAGGGGAGAGTTTTAAGTGGGCAAACAGTGTTTAATGATACACACAAAATTGCACTGAAAACAACTGGGTATGCATTTCTTGATTAAATATGAACATTTAGTATTTTGAACATTGTTTTTGTTCTTCAGCACCTCTACAATGTGAACCAGAATTTTAAGTTTGCACAATGCATTAGCTGTAGCCTCACCTACTACTACAAGACAGAAGTGAAAGTAAACGTGTTGCTTCCTAGAATTCAGGGAAATGTGTTCAGTCAAGTGTGTCCTGTTTAATGTAGCAATAGTTGAGTCTCAGCAGTGACTCATAAACTCATATAGACAGAACTGGCCAAACACACAAACCACTTAAAGAGCTGTTAAACAAATTATACGAACACTTACATTAAGATGCATCAGGGTAGTGCAACAGCAGGGTTTAACAGACAACATGAAATATTTTGCATGTAGCCGTGTGCTGGCACTGCAGCACCTTTGATATTTCAAATCTATGACAATCAGTGTCTGATATACTATATTATGAACTTCCATGTGGTATTAGAAAGCAAGTAGTAAATGTTTAAATGGTTTCTGTATTTCCTGCACAAAAAACTTTGTGTATGCAGCTGTTTAATATATAAATATAATTCTTCCTCAAACCCATTTTTATTTTTTTGGATAGCAAACTGTCTGCGCTCAAAGATTTGAATGAATGAAGTTATTGTTATAAATAAATAATAAGCATTTATTATTTATTACCAAAACTTTGCTATTCTGCAATGTTTGTTTTTTACCTTGACAAGTGAAGTTTAGTTCAAATATAGTGGCATTAAATTGGTACAAAAACTGTATTTTGACACATCTTTAAATATAGGTGAGTCTGTATCATAAGACTGAATTTATTCAACATTTGCACCTTAACACCAACAGGGCAGATAGCTGGAACTACAGTAGGGAGCTGTTAAATCCTCTATGATGGTTTTTTGACCTCTACAGTAATGTGTGTATGTCTCAACGTTAGCCGAAATGTTCTCAGTGCTGCCGTAGTTCACAAACCTCTGAGCCTCTAACACAGAATCAGAAGTTTGATTTGTTTAAGGTGTGAATGAAGCACAGACGTTCTCTCTGATTCAACAGTATTTGATGGGGTTTTTTTATACATAGATTATTCTTTTTATACATTGTATTTCTATTTGTGGTGGATATTTAGAGATGTAAAAGGAACTGTAGCAGGGAACTCATTCAATCAACTGAAGATGCAGCTTTGATCAGATAAATGTGACAGATCTGTTTTGAGACTCGTGTTCATTTCCATGTGTCACAGTTTATGGATGGTTTGTCTCTATGACTGTCCTGAGTTTGAAGGAAACTGTTCATGTTGTATCTTTTGTGTCTTATTTTTTTTAACTGTTTGCCTTTGACAATGATTACACATTTTGCTGATTTAAAATTTTATCCAAGTAAATTATCGTGAGTTTTCAACAGTTTTGTCTTGTGTCTTTCATATGATATATTTCAGCTTTACTTTACTTTTCTTAGTTACTTTACCGCCCTTTTTCTGTCAACATTTATTTAGCCAGGGTGGGTTTGCTGATCTAAACCTCTCTTTTCTGGACACAGCTGAACATCTATTAACCAGTTGAACCACAGTCTGTTAGCAGTTGGGTGTAGAGTCCCTTGCTTAGGGGCACCACAGTTTGGACATGTTATGCACTAATTTCCTGGGTCTTCAAAGGGACTCAAACTGGCAACCTTTGATCAGGAGCCCTCCTTTTTTAACTTTAGGGCACTGTTTTCCCTACCTGTCATATCTTGGCAAACTCCGTGGAGGAGGACCTGCTCGTTATTTAGATATAATTGGCTTATTCTAAGTAACAAAAACACAACAATACTTACAGTGATTTTAAATTGATGAAAGCATAGTTGCCAATTAATCCTGCACACTGGACCTTAAATAAAATTTCGACTTGCTTGTTCTTTACTTAAATATTTCCATATTATGCAGCTTTACACTTCTACTACAGTACATTTTGGAGACAAATATTGTACTTTTTACTACACTACCTTTATGTAAAGCTTTAGTCTGTTTGTAGATTCAGAGTATCAATACAAAATATTATTAAACTAATAAATTATGATTTGTTATTGTAGATTAAGCTATTAAGCTAGTATATAAAGTGCTTAAAATCAGCTCAACTTTTGCAAGCTGCAACATTAAAATGATAAACACATTAATGCGTCACTAATTGTAATCCAGGGCCACTCTGCATACTTTGGTACTTTAAGTCAACTTTGATGCATATACTTTTGTACTTTTACTTAAGTAGGAGTTTAAATGTAGTACTTTTCCTTGTAGCAGATTATTTCTACACTGTAGTATTGCTACTGTAACTCAAGTAAAAGCTCTAAATATTTCTTCCACCGTTCCTAACAACCCCACAACTGTCAGCAGAATTTGATGTAAATATTGCATAATGATGATCGGTGCACGTAAATATGTGACATTGTCAAACCAGTGAGAGGAGCACTGAGGAGAAACTCTCATCTCTCAGAAAGTGTTCATGCAGGAACTTGGTAAATCACCTGTGCTGCAAGCAAAACTTTAAAATTACCATGTTAATAAGCAAATACTCAGTACAAATAAGAGTTTCTTTGTAAGTCTCTTTTAATAAAATGATACAGTGTCATATTACAAATTTTTAACTTTACTACTAAATTATTAAAATATATTTAGGGAGACAAAAAAAATACAGAAACTAACTCAAAGTCAACACTGACTTCTAGAAAGATACAAACAACAACTCATCTAAGTAAAATTTAGTTCTTTTGTTCCTCACCAATGCCACTAGTTTGATGACAGCATGTCTAGTAAACTCTGCAGTTCACAAAGTATTTGCATCCTTAAACTTCTCCATTACAAATATTTATAACTTAGTTAAAATCATATCTTTTTGGAAATTGACATTAAAATATTTGATCAGATTCTTTAACAATTCTTAACCAAAATACCACTGTTTTAAAGCTTTTACAATGTTCGTACATTCATAGAATAATTAAAAGAAAAGCATGCAGCTGAAGCGTTAATCCCCAACATTAAAAGGCACAGCCATCCACCTGTCAGCCCTCTCACACCTCCACAGTGACAGTGTGCTCCAGTGGTGTAGTCTCTGTGGGGCTGGAAGCCTTTTCAGGCTCCTCTTTTTTGTCTTCCTTCCCTCCATCAGCCACAAGAGGAGTGCTCTCTGCTGGCGCCACCTGCTGGTTGTTGCTGGTAGTGCTGGCTGGCTGCTCAGCTGTTTTCTCTGCTGGCTGCTCTGCTGCTTTGGTTTCATTCACAACCTGGATGGAGTCAGCTGCAGGGGCCTGTACTGCTTTCACTTCCCCGTTCTGGACAGGATAGACTCCCTCCAGGGTGCTGTACAAGAACTGGTACTGTTCCTGTGGGAGACAGACAGGTTTGAGTGGAAACATAGAGATATGGTGCTGTGCTGTAGGTTCTAGTAAGAGTAAACTTATCTTTGTAGACATTAAACTCACACTATCACGCACCTTTCTAAACAATACACAAATAAGAGCACCAGAAAACAGTTCTAAGTTCTCTTAACATGTTCCTTCATAGTCTATGTTGAGTCAGACACACGTACACTGTCCCTGCTACTGTAAATGTTCACCAAATCTCACTTATCATTTAATTCTTCAAAGCAACGTGACAAGAGAACTGAGAGGGAGAGATTGTTTTTACAATATTAAAAGTGAGCAGAGCCAGAGTGTAGTGTTGGTGAACTGAACAGCACATTAAACCTTTTCCTCTTGGTAAAATCCGCTACAGCAGACCCATAAACTGACACTAGCAGGTAAGTAAAATGTTCCTCTTGCTTACAAGGTCAGAGAGCATGCCCGTTCTCTCCTTGCGTAGGGTTTTGACCACCTGGAAAACATCCACCAGCTTCTCAGTCTCAGCGCTGTCAAGCAGGTTCCATAGGGCACAGAAGACCCCTGAACGGGACGAGCCGTCACTGGGGAGAGGGAGCACACACACATAAAAGCAGGTTAAGATTACTCTTAGTCATTGTTTTTCCATTAACCCATTCCAGAAAAAAATCAATTCAATCATTACTGATTGACTGTTCTGTTCATACATGTGATCAGTCATGAGAGCTTCTCTTAAATGTTGCTCTTCCATTTCGCTGTAAGTAGCTTAGTAAATGTATCTTAATGCTCAAGCTCAGCCATTTTTTACTCCTAAATTGTCTCTTTAGAGCATCCTTTAGTGTAATTGAGAATGATGGGTTCAATTTTACATCATGTTCATCCCTCTGGAGGATTTAATCTATTGCATGCCTCCCAACAAATTTTAGGGGTGATGGTATTTTTCTATAAATGCCACTGTATACCTAAAGGTGGTGTCAAATGATCTGTGATCTTAAGCTCCTTAAAAGGGCAGTTCACCTTTAAATCTCTCTTTAAAGTTCTACTATGTATAAAAGAAGGCATACATCTCTACAGCCGATATCTCCAGCACTCGACAACTTACACCAAAATAATCTAGGTTAATAAATAGCACTACAGGTAAGAGAAAAAATATGTATTTCTGATTTTGGGGTGAACTGTCCCTTTAGCCAACCTTGTAGGAATCACAATTTAGGACTGCACTGGAGTTGGTGGGGAGGTTTTGACTTTCAAAAGAGATTAAAGGCCTGAAATTGAGCTTTGGAAACTCCTTATGGAAAAAAAAATAGTGCATATGTTGTGGTTTTATACATACTACCCCTTTAAGATTCCAAGGTTGTCTTACTTGCAATGGACCACGACAGGCATGTTCTTCAGTGGTTTGCTGCTGCCACAGCTGTGCTTGATGTCCTTGATCATGTCCACAAGATCTTGAGGTTTCTCCGGCAGCCCGCTGCTTGCCCACTTCAGGAACTGGTACTGTTTCACCGGTCGACTCTCTTTCCTCTGTTGACAGAATGTGGTGTGAAAACAGCTTTGGACATTGAAATGACCAGTCACATCACAGTCTGACGGGGATAAATCCTGGCAACAGCAGACATTTTTGGTGGTTAGGAGTGTTTACCTTGACATGGCGGATCAGCATGTTGCGGCTGATGAAAGCTGGGGTGGCTTCCGTGCTTGCTACCTCTACCTCAGTGTCCCCAAATGCTTTCTTGTCATTATCCCAGTAGACACAGTCGGACTCCTGTAAACAAGAGGACACACAGGAAAACTAGTGCATTGACCATATTGTATGTATATGTAAAGGCCATACATTACATATATGTACATGATATGTTACCTTATCTCCCTCACTGCTGTCTGAGAGCATGACAATAGCAGATGCTTTCTTCTGGTAAACCATCGACCAGAAGTCAGCCATGGTGTCTGGCAGCGGAGATTGCGCTGTGATGAAGGTGCGTGGGCCCCAGTATCCCTGTGTGGGCAAGAAAACACATCCGTCTATTGTTTTACACAATCCAAACAAATAGGATGTTTGTAAATTTAATTAGGCTGGTTTTAAAATTCAACTGGCTGCATGAAAGACGGGAATTCATTCAGAGTTAATGAGATAACACCTGCTACAACAGGAAGGATGGTAACAGCAACACAGTTTGTCATGCTTAAATCAAAAAACACAAAACACTGTTATTTTTGTCCTGGCATCCAGGTCAGTGTCAGAGTCACGCAGAAACAGGCAAGTAGATTAGCTAAGAAGTGTCAGTGAAATAACGTACATCTATGTGGGAGGCGTTGATGTATTTAGTGGACTCCTCATCCTCCTCATCTGATGAATCTTCTTCATCATCCTCATCGGGGTCACTATCATGACTGCGTCCTTCATCTAGCTTTAGCAACACTCGGTTGTAGTCATCTGAGGCACAAGTGAAATTGAACGTATTTATTCTGGTATACACTGATGGATTACTGAGTGGGCCTTCTGGAGTTTAAATGCAGTACTTTTACTTCACCTTCACCTGCAAAATGTCACTGAAAAAACACATACTGACCAGGAAGAGACACAAACACCCACAAGGAGATACAAAATGACTACAAAGAGACACAAAAGGACCTTAAATAGGTGCAAAATTGTCTCAAATTGACACAAAACAACCACAAATAGACACACATCAACCACAGGGGGGCATAAAATGCATAAAAAAGATACAAAATGACCAAAAGGGACACAAAGTTCTCCAAATGAGAAGCTGAGTAACCTCAAAGAGACAAAATTACCTCAGTGAGACACAATCATACCCCCAAAAGACACACAATTACCTCGAAGTGACACAGAACAACCACATGGAGACACAAAATAACCAAGAAAGACATGAAATTACCTTAAAGAGACACAAAACAAAAATGAGGGCATAGAAGAACTAACAGGAGACACAAAACAACAGAAAATGATACAGAATGACTAACAATAGACACAAAACAACCAAAAAGAGACTTGAAATGTCAAAAAAAGACACAATGGCTAACAAGAGACACAAAACTACCTTAAAAAGACACAAAATTACTACAAAGAGACACAAACTGACAAAAAACAACACACAATGACTAACAAGAGACACAAAACAACCAAAAAAGATACATTTTCTTAAAGAGACACAAAACTACCTCAAAAAGACATGAAATGACTAACAAGAGACACAAAAGGAACAAAAAAGATGCACCGTTTTCTCAAAGAGACACAAAAATTACCTCAAAGAGACACAAAACAACCAAAAGACACACAATGACAAACAAACAAGACACAGAATTATCTAAAGGAGACGCAAAACCACAAAAAGATGCATAAAGACTAAAAACAGTTGCAGAACCACCACAAAGTGTGTGTGTCTTGCTCCTATGTGGTGGTGGGGCCTTTTGCATATGTGTGCCCAGGGCGCCATTGTCTCGTAATCCGCCCATGCTGGTATAAGAATACGTGTTCACTATAATTCACAAACACACTACACAATATACTGATATATTATAGATGCTATTCTATAGTGAGTGTTGAGATGATACTCACATGGGATGACAGCTGAAGAGCGATTCTTCTTCTTGTTCTCTTCTGTGATCCCTGTGTTGAATGTCCTCCAGTTTTTGTAAGTGGGGAGTCTCTGAAATGCAAGATAAAGAATTTCCATTATAGAAATATATATCAAAGTGAAAGGATAGGACTATGTTTTTACATACATTGTAAAGGGAACAGAAACAGTAGTGTCGTAAAGTGCTTTACCTCAAACTCCTCCTCCATCAAGGTTGGTTCATTGCTGGAGGTTTTCGATGTGAGCGTGCTCAGTGTGCTGTGGAGCTCAGACAGGGTGATCTCAGTCTCTCCGAACTGATTGTGCTCCAGCAGCGCCTGGTGAATCAGGATGTACTGGGCCTGTGTGAGGACAAATGGACTGAATAAACAAAGGATATAGAGTTTGCAGATAGAGCAAGTACACATGAGACAAAGTGCGACTGAGCTACACAAGCCACATCTCAGATTTCTCCAGGGTGACAACTCCAACAATCTAACTCATTCACACCTTGTTATCTCTGCCTCCTTCTCTGTGGCTGGTTCAGATTTAACAAACAATTTGAACTTTATTCTTTATGAAAACAGTTAGCCTGTTAGATGTGTCGTCCACTAAATGTACAAATACATTGGAACTATTAAAACACATGAATGTACTGCACACGCTCACACACAAATTATTTTAATTTCTGTCCTCTGGTGGGCGCTAGAGATCACACCATTTGACTCCACAGAGCCTCACAGTCATTAAACCAGCCATGTGAATTACTGTATATTTATATCATATCATAGTGTGACACAATCAAAATGTATTGTGTAACAGCTGCACATTAAGACCCTGAAGTGAGCTACCAAAATGATTATATACTTTCAGTGTGTCATTAAAAAACTAGTTTTCAGAGTCTCTAACGCAGCTGTCAATTATGTCAACCACTGCTCGTGAACTGCGGTCAAACTGTCAAACTAGGCAGTGCTAATCAAATATGAATCAAGATTCTGCAACTGCATTGCTTATTTCACACCTCACATGTTTTCAGAAACACATTTTAGTGTACTGTTTAGCTGTAAAATGAGAAAATTGGCTGTATGGCGGCTTGGTCACTTTCTAATTTTACAGCTGAACAGTACACTACAATATGTTTCTGAGAACATGGTGAGAAATAGGCAATGCAGTAACTGAATCTTGATTCATATTTGATTGTATTCATGAAAGTAACCAACTGTAGCTTTAAATGGATGGATTAATAATTCAGTTTTATAGTGGAATCAAATAATCAATTTTTATAAAAACCTTTGAATTTGACTTTTTGACCTTTTGCTATTCCACTGGTGTGTGCGCCTATCATCCAATCTGCTTAACGTTTTACACATTTTCATATAAAGCCACTCTTGTGTATTTTGGTAACAATATTAAGTCAAATGTCTTTTGCACTGCCATGAATTCTTGCAACCATATCAATATCTTGTATATACATTGTACAATAACAATTGAACCTCTAGTGTATGTTTATTTATTGTCCTTTTTTCTGCCTGTTTGCTGAACATGAAAGCTGCATCTTTGCTTCTGTATCCTTGTCTTGCTTAATTATCTTTGTTTAGCTGTACATTCATGTATCTTTACTTTGTATCAGTTGAAGTGTGAGTGTCAACATACCCAGCCAATTAACTTAATGAGACACACACACACACACAGATGCACACACTGTGTCTAATAAACGATCTAAACTGATACTTTACCTCTACTTGAACCATTAGACATCTCTGTCTGCGGAGTCTGACTACGTAACCGTAGATGTCCACTCTGCCCTCTGCCTCCAGACCCTCCATCATGGCATCGATGCCAATGTAAGTGCCTGTCCTGCCGACTCCCGCGCTACACACAAGACAGTAATATTGTGTTAATATATGTTGGTATACATATCTATCGTTGGCAAGTACAGGTCAAGCTGGGAAATGGCCTGATGAGTCCTGCTTCCCAGTGACATCCTTTAATTTGCTTTTTCTTAATTCAGGATTCATAGAAGCTATGAAAGTTTGGATGCCTGCCTGAAAAGACACTTGAATAGACATACTGAGTGTAAAATGTACAGAATGAACAATAAATCAGTGAGGTAGTGATAGTAAAAGGAGATACAAATGTGGCAAATACAAAATGAACAAAACAATATATGGCATTTTTGTAATGCACTAAATACTAAAGCAATCAGCACAGAATTTATATTCAGGTTTAAACTGAAACAATGAGATATGGGAGGATACTTGTGTTCTCTGTGCCAACCAAATGCACACTACTGTTCTGCTATTAGGAAATCAAAATGTCATTTTGATATTTGTAACAAAGAGAACTGACTGTTAGCTGACCCTCAATGGGAGCTTGTGTTTACCTGCAGTGAACGACGATGGGGCCGCTGAAGAAATTCTTGAAAGCATTGACACGCCGCCTCAGTTTCAGGAGGAGATGTGGCTCCCCAGGGACGCCGTGGTCCGGCCAACTCATGAACTGGATGTGGGTCACCTCCCTCTCTGAGTTCTTCTCCCTCTTCTGCAAACACACACAGATTGTTACGCAAGCATACACAGATTTATTGATATTTAATCAAAAGTGTACATTTCCATGGGTGTATATTTCGGGGGGGACACAGGGGACACATCCCCGTTAAAATTTAGAACATGCATTAGTCTACCAATAAAAACATTAAAGTAGCAGAGGACTTTTGTTTTGGCAAAATTTAAGACATGTTCACCATAAATTGATGCAGAAAATGCACACACTGATGCATAATAATTCACCAGAATGCAGGAGATTAATTGTTTGATGCTTAACTTAATACCCAAAACCCCCATTTCACATGTGTCCTCTCCAGTGTTTAAACAAAACCTACACCCTTGTACATTTTCACTATTTTATCTGTTAAATATTTGATGGTGACTCACGTTAGTTAGGGTGAGACGGCGAATGGTGTAATCTGGACAGCAGTCCTCTGAGTTCAGCTTCACTATGAACTCCTCAAAGATCTCTGCCTCTCGCTCTGTAGACGGCCAGTACTGTGCACACTTGACCTGCAACACGTGACAGGAAAGGGAGTGAGTGGCAAAAACATTTTTGCATATCAGTGAGACATCAGTGACACTGCTGATAAACCCAGAAGTCAAATATGCAGTTGGTGCATGTTAAAAGCAGACTACTGATTAAACAAGTGGAAGACTTGTTTCTCCAAGAAATGAGACCACAGTGTGCGTATAAGTGTGAATTTTGGGCTCGTCTATATCTGATACAGTATGTGTGGCAGGGTAGCTATGATGTGAGTGTGTTTAAGCGACAGACAGACTGAGGTCAGTCAGTTGTGGGAAAATTAGCTTTTTGCTGTCACACATCAGCGTAACATTATAACCAACGTCCTGTTCTTACCCTGTTTCCCTCTTCACAGCGTGTTACCATGACAATGATGGAGGACTGCTGCTCCCAGACCATCCTCCAGAAGTCACTCACAGTCTCCTCTTTCGGCCCTACAACACACACAGAATGTATATACTGTACACACAGGCAGAAACATAACCCGGGCGCAGTGACTGAGTGTGTAAAGAATATAAGAGCTTTACTTTACCTTGAGCTGCGATGTACTTTTTGGATTCCTTGTACCCCTGCAGGAGGAAAACAAAGATGTTCAATAAGGTTTGTATCGTCACAAAGATATCATGAGGACAGAACATAATCCTTTGAAAGAATACTTCACCCATAAAATGATCACTCGTATATCAATAACTCACCCCATGTTACGTTGAATTTGTGAGGAAAACGTTTTTCTCGCATGCCTCCACGGTGAACGAGGAATCCAAAAACAAAAAAATTCTGAAAGATGAAAAGGAGAAGGGAGCCGCGTCGAACAACAGCAAAATTATATCATAACATCCATTTAAAAACTCTCACACAACGTCTAAATTATACAGATGTGAGCTCAGTACTTCCCAAACACATGCATTTTCAGTAGAACCTTACTATCGACAACACTTCCACATGAACAGTCTCACATACAGAGGAGTAGTGCTCCTCGGCAACTTAACTCGAGCAGAGTCAAAACGCACATGCTTGCCTATTTCTCATATGCTCAAGTGTTTTAAATAGTAAGGTTTTTGTAATCTTGCATGTGTTTGGCAAGTACTGAATATACGACTGGATAAAGGAGACTTGGATTATGCTGCATGAGTTGTGTGAGAGTGTGTAAACAGATGTTTTGTTGTAGTTTTGCTGTTGTTTACTGCAGAACCCCTTTGACTCTAATTCATCAAGAAATTTCTCTCTTTTTGGATTCTTCATTTACCATTGAGGCATGAGAGAAAAAATATTTTTCTAACAAAGTTTTCTTCACAAATTTAACATCACATGGGGTGAGTAAATGATACGAAAATTTAAAAAAAAGCATGCATATCCAGGTGGTGGAAAAAAAAAACAGGTGCTGGACGAGAGATCATGGAAGAGATGAAAAAAAAACAGTTGAGTGGTAATGTAATGAAATGTTATGGGAATATACTCTCGTGTGCAGACTTTGAGTAATTCATATGCAAATTATCATTTTGGGGAGTTAGGTATTCCTTCAACGTGACCATTATTGCTATTATATTTAAATCTGTATGCAGTTTGATGATGTTTGATAATTCTTAGGACTGCAGCAGCAGGTGTAAAAGTAGTAGTAGTGTGATCTTTTTCATACATCAATGAAGCTGGCATTGATGTAGTCACATCCTGCCTCTCCATTTCCGGTGGTCAGCTGGACACGGTTATAATCATCTGGTTCAAGACAGAAATAAAAAGTTTTTTAAACATATTGCAGAGGACACCTTTACAACCCTATGTAAATGAGTCTGTTAACATTCTCTGTTTATAAAAATATAACCTGAAAGGTAATAGGTTTAATTCACACTCATCTTAAAACCTGTAAATCCTATTTTGCATTAATACCGTCCTGCTCATTGATTTGCATCATTTCCCACGACAGTAGTAATACATGTAGATATTAAAGAAATAGCTGCAACATGTTGTACAGTAAGACAAAATGAATGAGGGTAGACAAGCCAAGTTGCACTGTTATACTAACTGATGGTGTCATGCAATCTTTGTACGTGAATCTCAACGGTAAATTACACATTAGACATCTAGTGAAAGCTTTTAACTCTTTTATCTTAAAAGCTACGTGTGTTGTTGGACTGACTCACATGGCAGGATGTCCACGTAGCGGTTCTTGGGGACGTTGCAGGGCTTTTTGGCCTCTTTCACGGTGAACCTCGAGAAGATTCTGGGGATGCTCTGAGAGCAGAAACAAATCCTCATTTGCCAGAGACCAAGCAACAGTTCTAGAGTAGCTTTCACACTCTCTCTAATCTATATTTGGCCAAGGCCCTTAGCATGCACATCCAATTTCTTTGCTTCAAGTCTGGTCTGGGACTGTTACTTTATACCATCTCCCTCTCAGCCACTCCACTGTAAACCATTGCAGTATAAAAACATACCTGAAACTCAGCCAGGAAAAGTCTTCCCTCGTCAGCGAGCTTCCTCTTGTAGGCATCCAGTAGCACCTCTGCTGCAATCGGCTCAACAGGCATCAGGTTCTCCTCATCATCTGCAACCCGACCAGCAGATAAGAAACAGAGAGAGTATGATACTGAAATAATACTAACTTATCACTAGCCATTACTACAAATCACAGTATTATTCATATTTAAATTAAAAGAATAAAGGAATACATATTCTGATTGTTACAAACATCATAAAACATTTGAAAACAGCTGCTACAGCTAAGGGTCATTTATTTTAAAGAACAGGCAATCTTTAGTTTACTCACTTGCTGTTGAAATAAGCATCATGTTTTCACCCATGTCACTGCAAAAATAAATAAAATATATATGTATGGACACTGAAAATTGTCTTTAAACAATCTAAATTATATGGAATATAGAGTGGAAAAAGAAAAAAATACATAAAGAGGGAACAGTAATGATGTTTCTGTCTGCCTGATCACTTGGAAACCTGCAGGTGTTATTTTTTTTGTAAAACCAAACAATCACAGACATAAAAGAAAATCAGAAGCAACATGACAGTGAAACTGAAGCAGAATTATCCTTACTGGAAATTTCTGTGCTTCAGAATGTAAATCTTGTAGATGACCATAATTAGAGCCACAGACGTGAGGATGATGAGGAAGACCAGAAACCCAATCAGAGCTTTGTCATTGTCTGTAAAATGATAAGGACATAAAGTGTAAGTGTTGGCATTTATGTTAAAGATACAATATATAGAAATGGATGCATGTATCTCAGAACAAAATATGTCAAATGATTTGACTGAACATAGCGAGGCAATTTGTGGCAGTAATTAAACCAGCACATACAGGAAGTGGTCACAGTTATTATCTTGGGGTTGCTGTAATGGTGTCCGTTGAAAGCAAACACCTGTAAACACAGAAAATCCCTTCATCAGGAATTATAGCATTTGAAGAAATATGAGGATTAAAGTTGAAATTATCTTCTGAAACCAAAAATTAGGATTATACAAACCTTCACTTCATATTCCGTTAAGTAGCTTAGATCTTTAAATTCAAAGTTGCAGTGTTTTACTGGAGGCTTCTCCTCCTGAGGGGCACCATTATAATACAGACGTGCAGTGTATTCCTTCTCAGGTCCATTAAAGCGTTTTCCATAAGTACAGCTTACTCTGACCACGTTATGCTCCGGATTAGTCCAGTCCACATGAGGAATATCTTCTGGTTCTGTAAGAAACACCATACTTTCCTTCAGATACAACAATATGCTTACTCACAGTCAAAGGAATATTTCAGTTTGCTATAACAGCAGTTTGAACACCAGTTAGCATCATTAGTGTGTTGCTCTGTTGGTATTCAGTCGTGATGTAAAGATAAAATGTGCAAAGCAAAGAAAGATAATTAATCTTACATGGCAAACGACTTGTTATTAACTCAGAGTAAAAACAAACAAACAAAAAATATATATATTAAAGGTTATCATTCTTTTGTCTTATATGTTTTAAATGATGAATGATGACAGCTTTTAAATGGAACTTTTTGTTTTTCCATTCATCGCACACAGCTGTAATGTTATGGAAGTGAGGGTTTGTGGGTTGGACTTCACATGTATCACATGTTTAAATTAAACTGAGTCGTTCTTAAAATAAAGCTGTCATGAAATAGGAACTGTAGGCATTAAAGCGGGAAATAAATGAATCATGGCATGGCATATGACAGGCTGCCACATTAAATGCAATAACAACTACATTTAAAAAAAAAAACTTTCACTTCAAAGTTGCTTTTTAAATTCATTATTTAAAAGAACAGCACTTACAGTGAATGCAAATGAAAATAATCTATGTAATTTTTTTTAAATACAATAATCATTGTACTAAACTGATTACAGTTTAACACACTGAAACAGTCTATAATCACTACAGACTCTATGGGTGACCTGTGATAAATGAACAGGTCAGAACTGACTGTTGGTAGATTTGTAGAGAATAACACTGTGAATAACCACCGTACTTTACTAATGACTGGAGCTACACTGTAATGTTCATTCAACAACATGTGAAATACACAAACTTAATAAACAATAGTCAGCTTCTTTCTTTCTTACACGAGTTTACTGTAATCTGCTCCAAAATACACAGTTAAAGACACTTACTTCCAGGATCAGTCTGAACCTTAACTGAAGATGGACTGTCAACTTCCTCGTTGTTGTACTTGGGTTGAACTGTACACTTATACATGGTGAATGGATCCAGTCCAGTAAAACGACACATTCCTCCTGTTTGAGATTTGTCAGCTGGAACGGCAACATAGTTTCATTAGCTGTGTTGTTGTGTTTGACTGAATAACAAAACAACAGAGACTAAATAACAGCAGATTGTTTTCTTGGTCAAGTTACCCATAAAGTGACAAAAAAGTTGATCTTATTCAATGACTCAATCAATCACCCATGTGTCATTGTTAGATCACCAGCCTCTACTAGTTAAAACTTTAGTATTCATTATGTGTTATTGACCTGCAAGTAGACTGGTAAATTTAATATGTGAACACTGAAGCTCTGACATTTCTGACGTTTACTTCCTGTTGAAACAAGGTGACTAAACTCTGACCTTTCAATTAATTCATGTTTGTGACACAAATCTTCACCAATCTCAGGTTATTCACACCTTCTTTCACTCAGCATGCTAAAGTGTTAGTATGGAGACATGTAGGTCCATGGATGATTCAAATGTCACAGTTTGTCTCACAGTTTAGATAAACTGATCAGTAAAATAATCTCCAAAGACTTCCTGTAAAATCAGTAAAATAAGACAGTTAATCTAAATATTTGTACTCACCACTGAGTTTGTGTTTGGAAGGAGGGACACAACTGCAGTCATATGAAAGCTTTGGAAGACCAGGAAGAACTGGACAGTCCTGACTGGTCGCGGTCCATGTCAGATCAATGGAGGTCATGGCTGCATTTGACCGTGTTGTTATTGTAAGATCTGTTGGAAGATATCAGACATCTGTAACACTGAGCTAAACATCTGGAGCTGTTCTGTTCTCCATAATTATCTGAAGATACAAGCTCATTGTTCTTATCATTGCACTGAGGTGAAGCGAATATCAACATACCACAGTTGATCATGAACTTGATATCAGTGGCTCGATTAATGGGGACATTGTTGTTCTTGATGTGACCAGTACAGCTGTAATGTGTGAAGGGCTCCAGCTCAGACACATTCTTGATGTAACCGAGTTCATCTTTTGAGGAGACACAAGGATGACAGCATTTCTTCAACAGCTTGGATTTGTCTCTTGGTGCCAATGAGCAGTCAGATTTCAATGTAAAATCATTTAAAGCAAACGAATAAATCTTCTCCTCAGATCTGATTCACAGAGAGCACAAAGCAACACCTCGACTTCCTCTCACACCAAAAGACAATTCAGATTCACTTTAATGTTAAACTGATTTTAATGGTCATTTCTGTTTGACTGCAGTGTGAGAATGTCATGTGCCTCTATCCACTTCCATGTAAATCCATTCATAATGTTGGTGACATACGAAGTCTCTTTACCTCTAGTCTTTACACTTACCCTGACAGGTGTAATCGACGGTGAGATCGGTGCAGTGTTCAGGTAATTCTGCTTCTATTTCTGCAGGAAGTCCAGTTGGAGGTTTCTGAGTTATTTCATTTGGATCTAAGAAATCTGCTGAATAAAGAAAACAGCACATACATTCAACATGATGAAATAAGAAATACACTACATGCAGTTCAAACTACGCGAGGACTCCTCTGTACATACCGACAGTGATGCTTTTGGTGCGGCTGAAGGTGTTGGCACAGTCTCCTGAAGTGAAGGTTGTAGTCAGATCAGTGCAGATGTCATTGTAATCAGGTTTAATGCAGAGCTCTGTATTGCTGCTTTTGCATGGCACAGCTGAGATATTATTGGATGTTGACAGTGAAGAGCTGATGTCCCAATCACTTTGGTAACAAACATATCCAGGCATGCAGCTGCCTTCTTTAATGTCTGTTTCACCTGAAACACACAAGTGAAATGAAATGCACAAACCTGTGTCATTTCTTAAATTAAAGGAAAATGAGATGAAATTCAACAATGTGAATTATTTTTACTCACTCATTCCAGTTGTCTTCATTTTACTTTGAGTGCTGGTACAGAGTGTTTCATTGCCAGCATCATCACGATATGCAACACTGAGCTCATATTCAGTACAGGGCCTCAGGTGTTTGATTTCATGTGAGGTTCCATTGAAGGAGTGAACAGTGGGTTCATTTCGGCCTTTGTCTGTAATGTTTATGATGTAGTTGCCAGGGGTAGAGCTTGTCATCATGTCAATCCTGAAGCCAGAGACGATGGTTGTGACATTGTAAGAACCTGCAAAACAAAATGAACAGAGTTATAAAATCTCATAGTTAATATAAATCTCCTGATGACATCTTTCAATCTCAGACAGTTTGTTCATGTAGATGTTGAACGTGAATCCAAACACTTTGTACACTCACTGTGCAAATCCATCTTCACAGAGAAACACTGGAAACCAGTTTAATAAGTACAGGAGTAAAGATGAGGTATATCTAAAAAATAATACTGATACTCACACTGTGGAGGGGCCTTTGTGGTGGCTGGAGAACACATTGAAATGAGATTAGAAAAGGAAATGACAAAATATTAATCTATGATTATAAAACTATAAAATACTTTTCCAAAGCAAGTAAAGCAGGTGTCTATATTTTGTGAACTTCTTGTAACCTGGTCCTCAGCAGTGCCAGTGTTAGTAACCGTTGCCTGTGCTTACATTAATATCACAGTCTTATCACAGTCCTCTACAAGAACAAATAGAAGACTTGTAAAAGAGAAAATTCCAACCTCGGGTGGTGGGAGTCACAGTGTTGTTGGGCGTGGTGAGTGGACGTGAAGTCTGGCTTTGAGTGGTGTTTGCCTGAGGGTCTGTTGGCTTGGTTGTGTTTGAGATTGGGGTGCTTGCAGGAAAAGCAGCAGAGGCTGTAAGATGGAGAGCATGCTGGAGATCACCTTCAAGTACAAATATTTTACTGCCAGTAGTCTTACCTGATATAATGCATGTTATCAGCTTTATCAAGCTGAATGCAACACTAGTGATCCCCCAAAAAACTGTAAACTGAGGCTGAATACGTTACCAGACATGGTAGTTGAATTAAGTTCTGCGCTTGGGGAGATTGAGGTGAGGGTTGGCGAGGTGACTGGAGGTGTGCGGGCAGTTGCTGATGTGTCTGTAGGCATGACAGTGGTTGCTGTCATGGTGCGTGGAGGTAAGGTGCTGACAGTTAAGCTGGTTCCTGAAGGTAAAGCGGCATTTATGGGAGTGCGTGGAGGTAAGGTGGCTGAAACACCTGCATTCCAAACACAATATCACAATGCTAGTTCCTACTTCATTTAAAGGTGCTACATGTGCTTTCCCTCCAACGATGATGACCACATAAATCCTGTTTCCTCTTGTTACAAAGATGGTGTTGCTTCTTATCAGTCCTTCCTCTTGCTTATGTCTGCTACAGTTTTCTTTTAAGTCGGAAAGAAGAGGTGAGAAAGAGCGTAGTGGCACTAGGCAAGAGTACATTTCTATCCAGATGTGGAAAGGCAGAATGATGTGTTTAGTTGGACTCGATTGAGCTTTACCTGTAGCTGTGAGTAAAATACTTCCTGCTTTTGGACTCAATGCAGTCTTCCTTTGCCAAAACACTAACAAGGTTGATTTAAGGTGGCCGACCTTTAAGGTCCAGTGTGTAGGATTTAGGGGCACAAACTGGCAGAATTGAAGTACAATATAATAAGTATGTTTTCCTTAGTGTATTATTGCCTGAAATTAAGAATCACAGTGTTTTCGTTAGTGTAGAATGAGCTGTTTATATCCACAGTGGGAGCAGGTCCTTGGCTATGGAGATTGCCATGTTGCTCCACCATGTTTATACAGTAGCCCTAAGTGGACAAACCACACACAGGCCATTTGCCTTTTCACATTGGCCCCTGTAGTTAGCAGCCCCTCCATAACGAGAATGTCACAAAAACAGGGATTTTTTATTTAGTTTTTTTCACTGGTTTAAATCACCAGGTCCGTTTGTTTTGGGGAGGAAGAGACCAGAACAATGAACACAGAAGGAATTCAAACGGGGAGAATTTTCATCTGGTTGCAATCTGCAATCCTCACCACTAGATTCCACTGAATCCCCCTAAATCTTACACAGTAGACCTTTAACAGGGTTGCGTTAACAGTGCTACATTGATTGCATAACGTTGCGTCAACAGCCACCTAGCATAGCTTCTTCACAGAACAAGTTTGTGTCAATAAACTGTTATAAAATCGGACTTGATGAAGAGATTATTTGGAAGACAAGTTTGACCTCAACTGTGATGACAAGTTTCTGTAGCTTTCTAAAATAAACTGTGGTTTATTTCTATATGAAGCCAGAGTTAAGTGAATGAGATGGAAACTAATTTTTCGAATTTTCCAAACATCATCACATTCAAAATGATTCTTCTTCTTATCACTGATGACAGTGGAATACCTACTATCAGTAAATGTTAGCATTCATGTTTCACTGGCTGGATAATCAGTGACTTACTTGTTCCTGTGGTGGAAAAAAAAAAAAAGTTGTATCCGCACCACACTGAGCACTTGCAAAGTTTGACTCGTCTAAATCCTAACAACACTCAAACTGCTGCTTTTCTCTAATTCTGACTCTGATGCTGTAAATTCTCCAGACTCATTTGAGAATAAATATCATAACTAAAGATCTCAGATAAAGTATAGTGTGACACACAACCTGGAAAATAACATCTGTACTGAAATCTGTCTTGTTTCTAACTTAGATTCCCTTTGCAAGCACTTCAGACAACGAAGCAAAACGTTAATACATTTCACTGTGTGAGCCACCAATTAATCATTACTATAACTCCATGAATATAATATACTTCAACACAACCTCACTGAAATATTTGCACATATTAGCCTAGATGCCAAGCAGTCAGTTATTGTTAGTTTGTTTTATCTCAGTTTAAAGGCAAACCACTGAGATATTAAAGGGAATACACCTGTGAGTAAAGTTTGACCTGAAAAGTGCCACTACTGTATATGACTGTCACACTTCTTCCTGCACCAGGCGAAATATGAATGAAAATCGCCACACAGATTAGCTGCATATGAACATAAGTGTTTCATACTGCTTTGGCAAAGCAAAACGTTCTGAAATGATCACATACGAGAATGCAGTCTATAACTGTCTGTAGGTAAAGCTAACAGTGGCCCCACACTCCTCCATCAACTGCTAATGACTGTGCAGCCTTGGGTGAACCAAGTCACTAAAATGGAGGCCAGTGTCGACAAAGCTACTGAATAAGAGTGAGAAAATATAATTATGCAACTCATTGTACATAGAGCACATTGTTTCTATTTGAAGAGCTTATTCATCTGGTGATTCTGCTGGCGTTGGTGCTGCCGTGGCCATGAGGAGAAAAGAGTGTGAGGTTGAGGTGAATGCATTGCACAAGGTATAGGACAGTCGATGGCATAGTCACAGTCAAACATTTTATTCATTATAACAACAATTAAATGTTATACAGTAGGTTACTTCTGTATTGCCACTCACTGTTGGTTGTTGATCCTGAATCAGGAGCGGATTGACCTGGAAAAACAAAAGATAAGCAAATAATTGCAAAAACAGCAACAAACAGTGATTTGTTCTTTATGTGAAATTTTTTAGCTTATAAGCTTATCTGACAGATAAAACTCTTCCAGCAGGGCCGAAGCATCATCAGGTCAAAAAGAGGAAAGCAACTATTTTTCATCTGAAGTTCTGCATGAGGCAGCGCTGTACAACCTGGTTGCTATGACAATGCGGCAAAGAACCGCACTTGCTATTTCAGAAGGCAAACCGCTATTTCCTGCTTTGCACTGAACCTCCCGTACTCACAAAATTAGTTTCGGTTTGGACTGATCACTACCTCCTACTGAAGCTCAAACGTCCACAGTGGCCTTTCTCTCTCATATCTTCAGTCTTAATTAATAGAAATGACAGCATCACCTGATAATCTTTTAAATAATATCCATGCTTAATGCAAAAAAATAGAGCCTCATAAGTCATTGTGTGTTGCTTTTCAAATGCTGTATTCTGATATTATATTGGTTATCCTTGAATAAAAACAGGCATATAAATTAAGTTTGGCTGTGTGCTCACTGCATCACTGATTTTAAGAATTAATTTACAGTAAACGCATCTTGTTCATTTACGTTATATAAAAATAGCAGTGAGAACTGAGTGATGAGGTGATGGGGCAGTCGAACAATGAGTCTCAGGATGTGGTTTGGCGCGTTCTTGTTTCACTATATCGAGCAGAGATGCATGCTCTCTGCAGTGACATTTCACCACGTTATAGTCTGTGTGGTGACTGATTTGAATTGTTTCAGTGAAAGGTTTGAGAGACGCGACTGTGTTTTATGAATGTTTCAAGTAGCTGATGAGAAAACTTTATCCAAACACCCATTTTATCACAACTAAGTTTGTTTCAGACACAACATTGTAAAATTGGGAAGTTGTTTTTAAAACTAGTTTTAAGTAAAGCCTCCTGGTGTATTGGGTACTTTCCTTTTTGGTGTCCTCAGGACCGAGTGAGAAACAAAGGTGTGATACTGTTACATGAGTCTTTTTAAGAGTACAAGCGTTTGCTCCAGGTGTGACAGAGAAAAAGAAAACAGAAGTAGAGGAGGTGTCACAGGTTTGACCATAGAGCTGACAGCAAACACAGTAAAGTGACAATCAGAGCTCAGATTCAACCACACACCTTTCCCTGAATCCAGTTACCTTGCCTGACATTAAGTAAAGACACCAATTCAGTGTCCGAATCTGTCGCTCATGTATCACTTTTCTCTTAATCAGTTTTCACCATCAGTTATTTTTCTTATCTGCCACCACTTTCTTTTCATATTTTGCATCGACGGGCACGCTCCCCCTCCTTCCAGAAACAGCTTTAATCATGCAGCACGCTTAACATTTCTGACCTCACTTCTTCATTTTAGAAGACTGCACTTCCCCTTTTTTTCATGAATTCTCAAGTTATTTTTTTGTGTGTGTGTGTGTGTGTGTGCTCTGTCTCAGTCTGCTTGGTGCTCTGCTCTGCCAGGAAATGAAGGCAACTCAGAATGGAACACGGAAGTGGTCAACATTTTGATCATACAACTCTGTCCTGCTGCCGCTAAAGGAAGCCCAATAACTTTGCATCTTGATGTGGCAGAGTCGCTCTTACCCAGTGGGTTTGAATACATTTATTTAATGATCTTTAACAACAATCAGGAAAACATCTAGTTTTTGTGTTAGGAGAAAGCTCGACTCACATTTTCTGCTATTTTGATGATTCAAAAGTATCATATACACATGATTAATATTCACAGTTTGGCTAATTTTCTGCAGGACCAGTATTTTACTTTTAATAATTCAAGCACATTTAGCAGTACCACTCTGTTAAAATACTCCATTACAATTAAAAACCTTGCTGTACCCAAGTAGACACATCATCTGTAACATTTACCTTAGGTATAAAAGTACACACTTTTCAGGCAGAATGACCTCTGTTAGAAATATATAGTATATTACACTTTTAGATATTATAATTGATACACTCACATGTAAATACAGAAGCAGAAAAGCGGATCTGTTCAATGTGTTTTCTACACCATATAGAAAATGAGAACCATTTATTTTTCTACAGTCATTTTTATTGTGAGCTGCATGATGCTTAGTGTTGTAGGATGAAAATAGATATTGATTTTGTAAATATAGAAGATGCACGGGGTTCCAGAGGAACTTACTACTCTGACTGCCGAACAGGCCAATACAGTGGCGTATGCGTCTCTAGTAGCTTTTCGCAGAATTTTGCTAGAATGGAAGTCCCTTAACCTTACATCATCATCTGTCTGGCTTAAAGACCTGGTATTTTTTCTCAAACTTTAGAAGATGGAATTCACTCTTAGGGATTCTGAGGACCATTTTGATAAGAAATGGCGATGCCTTAGAACACTCCCTCCTGATTAGGAGAGGAATATTATGTAATTGTACATTATTGCTATTAACTCTCACGCACTGTTGTTCAAAAGACCTTCTTCTCTTTCTCCTTTCCTTTTTTTATTTACATATCCTCCTTTTGTTTCTATTGTACTTTTATTTTTTTGTTTTTTACGTGGAATAGATGTCATTATGTGTTGAACCTGTACCTCCATAGACTTTGAAGGTAGGGGCAGGAGGGGATGGATGTTTGTTCAGAAAAGCAAAAAAATGGGAGGAAAGGTATGGTTTCAATTGCAATTCTGTATGATTTGCAATTATCCTTCGATAAAAAACATCATTAAAAAAAAGAGGATGCTCAAAGACTCAGTTGGCTATTCACATATGAAACACATAAGTCAACCAATTATCTGGAGAAAGCCAAAGTGACAAGATAGAGCTCTTTATTGACAGAATCTGTAGATATTTAATAGTTCCTTACGTGATATTGTTTTGATTTTAATTTAGTTTGTCATGTTAATTTTCTTCTCGTTTTCCACATGTTTTATATGCAAGGCCAGAAGATATATGAAAGATAATGGTGTCTTGTAATACCGTGTGGTCTGGGCCTGAGCATCAGCCCATGGTGCTGCTACGCCAAAGTGCCAAAACCTGCAGCTCCTCAACTGGCCATTTGAGGTTGGGTCCAAGTGCTAGTTATTCCCCGTCGACCCCCATGTTACAATGCCCATCTTTACAGCAGAAATAAACATATTTACAGCCTGGTACAAAAAAATGTCTTTGGTCTCTATAGTTAATTTAAACATTCATGAAACTGTATGGGGTGAATTTTTATATAACTCACCCAATTAAATTTTATTAAGGCTTAAAGGTACTCATACTTAAAGGTGGGGCTGCTTGACTGACAGACATAGCCTGTAAAAACAATGGATGTAGCCACAGTGACATCACCCATTGGTTTGTAGACTCCCGTTTTGAAGCCTCGAATTCGGCATTTTGGTTTTTCAGAGCCAAAAGTGAGACGAGATGGCCAAATTGTCATGAAGAAAGGAAATTATCTACAAAGACCAAAATTATTTTATGTACCACGCTGTCTGATGTTTATTTCTACTGTAAAGTTGGACATTAACATTAACATGGTGGTCTATGAGGATTAACTCGCTTTTAGAGCCAGCTTCAAGTGGCCATTAGAGGAGCTGTGGTTTTTGCCACTTAGGTGTTGGGCTTTATTTTTCAGCCCTGGAGGGTGCTGCTTGGTGACAGACTGCCTTCGAGGCCTCGCTATGGTCTAGGAGTGAGATCACTCCTCCAAGGCTCCACCTGCTTGTCCAAATATGCTAATTTTCAGCTCCAAAAACCCAATGCCAAACTCGAGGCTTTAAACCAGGAATCCACAAACCAATTGGTGACATCACTTCAGCTACGTCCATTATTTTGTGCACTTCATTTATGGGCCAAATGTTTGGCATGACATCAAAATAAAAGAATTACAAACGAACTGTAAATAGCATCGTAATGCTGTTGGCCAAGGAGGAGCTGATTCCACATATTTTTATATACAATTAAGTGGTTTAATTCACTGTAGAATAACAATGCATTGTATTTTATGTGCTCACTATAGGTTTTAATCTGCAAACCAACTATACAAAATTCTTTTCCTTCTAAAATGTGGTGGCGTATAATTATAAAACATAAAGTAAAGTACATCAGAATGGTACTGCAAAGTACTCAAGTAGCTGTACTATACAAAATGCTTTAAAACATAGCCTCATTACCATATCATATTGCTTATTTAAAATAATGCTACTTAACTTTACAGTGTCGTATGAAAAACAATGCTCGATCAATGGAAAACTGAAGACATGTTTAACTAAGAAACATCTGTTGATGCGGTGTACCATGATGACTCACCTCACACATGAGCTGAGAAATACTGTATATTAGAAAGAAATGACAAATACTGACCCTGACTGACATTAAAGACAGCAGAGTGAAATGAATAGAGTGAAGGGTTTATTTCAGCTCGTGTGTGTGTGTACAGACGTCTGAGCTGAAAATAGCAGAAATTATTTGATGTGCTGAACAGTAGCAGATCTCTGAGTGATGCAAGAGGCAGTAAGGTGGGTCTGACTTAACACACACATATATTCATGCATGCACACACACAACCACACATACAGACACACAAATACGCACACACTCAGATGTGTATCATATACAACACCCACAGCCACTGGGGTTGAAGTGAAGAGCTTGCAGGGACACACCCCGTAAAATCCTCTCATCTCTGACAGACATAGCCCCCACCCTACCCACACACACACACACACACACACACACACACACACACACCCGCACCATCACACAATGTCAAAGCAGAACAGAAACATGATTGCAAAAATTCCCATAGCTTTGTACCAAATGAAAGAACACGTTTTAAAGAGAGTCTTCTTATTAACAGCCGTCTTTGATTGAACATAACTGTTTATTCTTTTGCCAAAGGGGCTCACAAACCTGTCACTTTTCAGCTTCTCACATCACAAGTGTGCGCTGTAATGTCTTGTGTTCTCAGGTTTGGAAAGTTTAAGAAACGTGAAGTAGCACAAACGGAGGTGCAACTCAAAGACATGATATACTGTAGCTTGTCATTTCTGCCCTCAGTTTTTTACCTTAAATGATTTTATTTTGTGCGCTGATGTTTTCCAGTAAAGAAAATAAAAAACAAGAAGCAAACTGTCAAGCGTTTGCGCTGACAGATTCACGTCTCTATCTGAGGCATGGAAAGTTTCACCTTTCCTCTTAGACACGATCAACCATATGCTACAGTTTCAAAAACAGCTAAGTTAGGAGTTTAGAATAAGAGACCTCATCACCTACAGTTGGCTATCGCTTGTGTTTTGCATCATTTACAGATTTATTTTCCCGTCTAGAAGACTTTGAGATGACAGACAGGAGAACTCAACTTCATAGAACACCATTTCTTTTTCCGTCTTTCAAAAGGAAGCTGAAGATGGTTACTTACAGCTGGCCAAACCGATGATCCCAGCCCAGAGCAGCAGGATCTTCAGACCAAAGAGATCTGCCATATCCAGGAGTTAGGGTGTGTGCGGCCACACACCATACAGTATAGTCCTAGTGGGGACCAACAGGCAGATATTCACACGCCTAACTGAAGCTGTATGGCCAATTTCTAACTAAATTCTACGAGAGAAATGAGTAAAAACTTGTTTTAAACTACATATGTTTTCTGTCTTATCAGTGGACGCAGCTTCCTGGACTTGTTCCCCAAACCCTAAACCTCGCCTCTGCTTACAAGTCAAGCAAGTGGGAGTGATGTCACACTAAAAGAGCCTGCCTTTACCTTAACATTTGGTGACAGGAAGTGTCTTTACAGCTACGCCACCAAGAACAGGAAGTCTTCTCTCATCTAATCTTCACTTGCTTTTGCTCAAGTGTGAAAACCCTCTGACTTATGTAAAATAGAGTGAAGCGAGGCTTTAGGGTGAAGCCTTTTTTTCTGACTAAAAGTTTGTATTGTGACATATTATTCTTTTTAGACACATGCTTAATACATGGTGGTTTTTAAATCCACAGTTTAGCTTCCACATCCACAGGCAGAGAAATGAAAGCAAACACTGCTGTTAACACACTTTAAGGCTTCAGCTGTCCTCTGTCTATTGGCTTCTGTTAGACTGCTGGAAATCAGACTCAATGAGAAAATTTTACATCTGAGACACGAGACATACACTAGTGAAACTTCTCAGAGCTCCTATCCTTTCTCGCTGACTCCTCCCTGCTCTCGAGCTTACAGGCCTGCAGTCGCTCGGCCATGTAATCAAAAAACTCACGAGGAGCGAGCGCTGCGGCGTGCAGGAAAAAAAGATGCAGTCTTTCCTTTCTTAAACTTTGCTCTCCGTTTTCTTCCCCTCTCTCTCTCAGTCTAAAGAGAGAAAACATGTGGCCATTGGCTCCAGAAGTGAATTTCTTCATTTCTGCCGTTCCTTCTGTGTGAAATACATTTATAAGGGATGTTAGATCTCTTCAAAGTCATTGATCGTGCATGGTGTTTGATCATCGTGCTCTGCCTTGGAGCCCAAAATGCTTTACTTCTGTTTACATACACAAGAAAATGGGGGATAAAAGAGGAAGGAGAGGAGTAGAGAAACTCTCCGGGGAGCGAGACTCACACACTGGGTGGTGTGCTGATGTGAATCTGGATGAAACAAAGTCAGCTATTTCATGCAGTTATATGAAAATAATACATGCAACTAAGAAGGACCATGTTTGAGTTGAGACACGTATTAGATACTGAGCTAGTAAAGGCTTTTAATTGAACCTGCAGGTACAGTGGATGAAGCTTTAAGTCTATATAGTGTGGTGATAATGATTTGAATCTCTACAAAGTAAAGACAAGAACACACTGATCACATCAAACCTTTGATTAATATTTGTGTTTACCCTGAAGTGAGCAACGTGTTTAAACAATGGTTGCTTTCTTTCTAAGTCATAATGTATTTCTGTGGAATTAAGCCTGAATCTGAAACCCAATAGGAATGTCCTGAGTTTCCGACAAAGAGCATACATTTTTAGTATGAAGATCTAAATATGGATTTCCTCCTAGACCAGTGAAACACATGGTATTTGGTTATTTCCACTTCTGAGAGTATAGATTCTTGTAATCAGGAAGTGACTCTTAAGCAAGCAGCATCACGTTAATGCAATCCAAATGAAGCTGCATTTACTGTGGGTTTTTGGTTTGATGTGTGTGAGTCATTAAATGCAGACCAGTCACGCAACCATGTAACTGTCTTTTAAGGCTGTCAGGCTGCCAGATCTGACATCACTGCAATCAGTATTGATTAGATTAGCACTGCTAATATGCTTCCTTATTATAAAAACATGTGACTTATATCAGTGGACTTAATTAGGAGCCCAGGAGCCACACAGACATTTATCCAACATAGGAGCATCAAGTACATTTTCCTTAATACAGAACAAGTCCACCAAACAGAATAACTCACTGTTTATTATAAAGATGGACAGTATATTCAGAAATGGAGGATAAATTGCAGCATGATTGCACCTTTGGCTGCTGCCTTTTTGTGTTCCTGTGAAAAGAATACAAGCATGAAAGCGTTTCATTGTGGTATGATGCAACCGAAAAAATATTCCAAAGCCAGTCAGCTCAGTTTTAAATACACTGAGGCTGTGAAATGCTGCTAGCATGACAGCTTCCTTAAGAACAGTGTAATTAATAAAGTCTGTACAAACTACCATGCACTCAAGTACAAGAAAACAATATCCAGAAACCTCATGTTCAAACCTGACTTTTTAAGCAAAACTTAAATGTTGTGTCAAAAAGAAAGTTGTTTATATATGTGTCACTTCTTTAGAAAGAGGAAATGAGGGAGCCACTTGGCTGACAGGAGCTGCTGTTGACCAATCAGTGACAGGGTTCATTAGTGACAAACAACGCAACAAGTTATTTTTCAATGATGATAGTCAAGGTCCGTGGGTCTTCCTCTCTCACTACAGTCAGGGACAAAATTTGCATGCAACTAATATAAGAATCTAATCAGATTGTTTTAGAAATTTGCATAGCAAATTCAGGCTCCCCATGGAATTAAACCTCTTGTTTCCAGCACTAATGTGGATTTTTTTTCTCTTCTTTTCTTTTGGGGTGTGAGATGATGTTTAGATTCTCTGGGTCATTTGGGAGGCTTTAGAATTGTATGTTTTTTTTAACACATTACACGGAAGCAATGGCAGGATATTAGGAGATATGGACAAAGGTGTTACACTACATATTATTTGGGTGCCTGCTCATGAGACAATGTTTTTATATCAAGCATGGTTTTTAAGAAATCACAGTTTACATTTCAGGGCGCGTGCGTGTCTTAGATGACAGCAGCAGAATCTCCATTTAAAATAGCATGTAAACACTATATATCAGCAATTTCCATCCATCATATACTACTACAGCCTTTACTACTCATACTACTGTTGATACTTTTGGGGTTGTGAATGTTAAATACATATTGTAACATATCATAAATACACACAATATTATACACACAGAGCACATGTAGGCAGTACATATAGTAAATGAGTACATGTACTTAGTGCTTGGTGGTGGTTGCAGGCCCCTGTCAACTTTTCTTGTGAAATTTTCTACATATTATTATTATTATTATTATTGGACAACAGTCATACTATATTTAATTATATGTCATATTATGTGCTACATTGCTGTACTATACAGTTCATTATATTATACTATATCACCACATTTCCACTTATATTATTTTTATCTTTCTTTCTGTATCTGAACCTATATCTGTCCTTGTGCTGCTGCAAAGCCTGAATTTCCTCTCTGGGGATCAATAATGGCATGTTTCATCTCATCTTATCTTGTGCAGTCACTTATCTCGTGTTGCACCACACACACAGCACCACAAGTGCCCATCTGTCACTGCTGGTCGTTATAGTACTTGTCTGTTTGCATGCCACTGAGGTAAAAACACAAACTATCTCTAGCCAGGGTTTCCCCCAGGAAACTGTTTATCCACCGCACATCTTCTATCATGATTTTACCAAATGACATGATTACTGAAAACCTCTACTGCAGTCTTTCATGAGCCTTTATTCTCATGTGGAGCACCATGATTGGAAGTTTCCCGGAACAAAGTCATAGGATGGTGCAGTCTGTGTCTGTGAGTGTGTGTGTGTGTGTGTGTGAAAGAGAGAGAGAGGAACAAAGGTGTAGTTATAAGTATAAGGTCTGTGTCAGTGTCACAAGAAGGGCAGCATACATTAACCCCATTTTTTAGAGTAACAATTCATTCCATAACAAAGACGCAACACGTATGTAAACCAACAACCCTTTGCCCCAACTCCATAACAAAAACAAGCTCTCAGTGTGGAGGGAAGTGAAGTGAACAGAAACGTGCCAATGACAAAGCAAGAAATTGGTCATCATCCCATGACACACTGACCATATTAGGGTTTTTTCTTTTGCTTTTTACTAGATTATTATTCTCTGATATAAGGTTTTGGCTCTGTCCTAGGAACTCTATTTCATCCAATAGTACACAAACAAGAGCTTAAGGCATAATTGTTAGTTGTCTTTATCACCCCCACAACAACCGCAAGCTGACACAGTGAATGAAAGACTTTTTCTTTGGTCTGAATCACACAATAAAATGACACACTGCTGCCCAGTTCAGCCTCTCGCCATATTTTCACAAACCAACCACAAATTGAAAACAGCAGTCACACGGCCTGACAAATGACTCAGTCGCTGGACAGTGTCAGCTAACCGCTGTATCTCCACATACTATTTGGTTTGAGCTTAAATTAAATCTATGACCTTTTTTCTTTAGAAATAGCTAAATATGAGCATCAGCTGTGCGTCATCAGGCAAATATTCAAAAGAAAAGCCACCAGAAACAGTATTACCCAATCTATTAGGCCCTGACAAGCTGACAGAAACTCATGCACTTCTTGTTAGAGCACACTGCAGTCCCTGTAATGCTGCACAAGCTTGAGACTCAACATGACACCGATATCTACTTTATCAGGAACTCTGGTTTCTTTGCATCACATTAAAGCATTTTATCAAAAACATCAAAGTGTAAAAAAAGAGTTTCCTTCCATCACTTACTTTACCCGCAAGCCTCCTTTGAATTACACTCACATACAGCTATCACTGCATTAGCAATTAACATTCAATGACTGTGTTCAGTGCCAGTGTTGTGTGATGTTTGTATACAGATGTGGAGTTTGGTGTTGTGTATGTGTATTTAACACTTGTCTTCAGTGTTTGTGGTTTAAGTTTGCATTCTGTCTCATACTATTAGTCACCTTTGACATTTGTGTTACACAACAATAACCACAATCTTTCCATGATCATGGAACAATATTTTCCTAACTATGACCAAGCAGTTTTAGCTGCCTTTTAGTTTAGATGCCAATCCTCCATCGCGACCCTCCTGCCAGCCTGGGTTTGAATACACATTGTGCAGCTTTGGTGACCAGTTGTTTGTCTTAAAATCTTCTCCTTCTCCCTCACTAAAAAACTCCAGACTCTATGAAGATGCAAATATTGTTCATTTCAAGGGTTTAACTGCCGGACACAAGATGTTTCCTGCATGTGTGCTGAATGCTTCAAATTTGTGATTGGACCATGATTGGCTCCCAGACGAGAAACTTTCCCCTCCTTCACAAGATAAATGTGAAAGCAGATTTTAAGGGGACTTTTCTGATGCTGACGTTAAAAAAATATTTAAGAGAGAGACAACAAAAAGAG